TTGCTCTCCTCTTTATTTTTGGGTTACTATAGATAATTATATATAATAGATTTTCTTTTTTTGTATTTTGAATATGTATTTGTCTAATAATAGTTTATATTCCTAGAAAAAAAAAAAGATAAACCAGGTAAATAAGATGTTAGAAAAGACAAAGGTTGTGAAGAAGGAAGAGGGAGGGAGGGGAAGGAGGAAGAGACATGAACACAAGATTAATTCTGAAGAAAATAGAAGAAAATAAATTGTTGAGAAAAACCAATAAAGAAAAAGTATGAAATATGAGAAGATGAGAAAACATAAATAGGAAGAAGAAACTGATAAAAAAGATGTTGAAAAAAAGAAAAAGAACAAAAGGGATAAGAAAACAACAATTACAAGAAAAATAAAAAATTATAAATAAAATAAAAAATAAAAGCAAATCAAGAACTAATTGGTTATGTGAGATTCAGTTGTGCGGTTCATGAGGGAGTTATAATGTGGATTTGGGTTTAAGGTGTAGGTTTTTTAATTAGGTGGAGGGGGTTTATAATGTGGGGTTTGAGTTTAGGGTTTAGGGTTTATATTGATGGGTGTAGGGTTTAGTTTCTGGTGCATTTTTAAAAATTTGAATTATAATAGAAGTATATAAAAATTAAAAATTACTGAATTATAAATTTATATCCACCATTTTAAAATACACTCATAAGTAGAAAAAACTAAAACAGTAAAAGCAAATCCATACTCCAAAGATAACAACACAAATTAAATAGATTTTTAAAAGATCTCAACTATATAAAGATAAAAACTATTTCACGAATCCTTGAAAAATCTAAATTATCGAATGAATTGATAAGTGAAATATAAGACGTAGACAAGGAAGAATAAAAACTTGAGTAGAATAAAAGAAAGAGGGTGGATAAGAAGATGAGAAACTTCGAGAAGAAGAAGAAAACTCGAAGACGAAAAAGAAAACAAGGAAGAAAAAATAAATTGTGATGGGAAAGAAGGCAAATAAGAGATAAATAAAAAATATAATAATATGATGTTAGAGAAGACGAAGATGAAAAAGATAGAGAGAAGAGAAAATGACGAAGAAGATAAACCGGACAAAAATGTAAAGAAAATTAGAAAGCAAAAGAAGAATAGTAAGTTGGAGGATATGAAGACACAAGAAAGTATTGAAGAACAAAAATTGGAAAAACAAGAAGCAAAAAAAAAGATGATGACAAAGAATAAAGAAATGGAAGAAAAAAAAAGATGAGATCACTCAAAAAAGAATAAGAGAGAGAAGAAAACAATCATTACAAAAATTTAACTATTTTTTTGTGCTTTTACAATTTATAAGTTCATATTAAATTACCAAAATGTTAAGTTATTACTTTCTTGGAAAATAAACACAATTCAAAATAAGGAAAGTAATCAAAAAGAATATGCATTAATCTAATATTAATTGAATTTGTAAATTAACAAAATCAAGACTATCGAATGAATTGATAAATGAAATACAAAACGTAGACAAGAATGGAAAATATGAGTAAGAGAAAAGAAGATGGGAAACTTAAAGAGGAAGAAGAAAACTTGGACACCAGGAAAAATAAATCAAAGATGAAAAATGGAATGCGAAGAAAACAAAGACAACGAAGAGATAAACAAAAACTATAGTAAAATGATGTCAATGAAAACGAAGATGATAAAGATAAAGGGAGAGGGGGAATGAGGAAGAAGAATAATCAGAAATAGGTTTTTAAAAAAATTAGAAAGAAAAAGAAAAATAGGGAGTTGGAGGATATGAAAACACAACAAACGATTGAAGAACAAAAAGTGGAAGATAAAGAAGAAGCAGAAAAAAAAATGATGACAACGAATAAAAAAAGTAGAGGAAAAAAGAAGAAGATGAGATCACTAGAAAAGAATAAAAGGGATAAGAAAACAACAGTAAAATAAAATGAAAATAAAAGGAAAAAAACAATTGAAGAAAAAGAAGAATAGTGAGTTGAAGGATATGAAGACACAAAAAACAATTAAAGAACAAAAAATGGAATATGAAGAAGAAGCGGAAAAAAAAGAAGACAATGACAACCAATAAAATATAGAGGAATAAAGAAGAAGATCAGATCACTAGAAAAGAACAAAAGGAAAAAGAAAATAACAATTACAAAAAAAAAATGAAAAATTATAAATAAAAAATAAAATAAAAGCAAATCAATAACTAATTGGTAATGTGAGATTCAGGTGTGCTGTTCATGGGGGAGTTATAATGTGGATTTGGGTTTAGGGTGTAGGTTCTTTAATTAGGGGGAGATGGGTTTATAATGTGGGGTTTGGGTTTAGGGTTTAGGGTTTATATTGATGGGTGTAGGGTTTAGTTTCCGGTGCATTTTTTAAAAATTGAATTATAATAGAAGTATATCAAAATTAAAAATCACTGATTATAAATTTTATCTACCATTCTAAAATACACTCATAAGTAGAATAAACTAAAACAATAAAGGAAAATCCATAATCAAAAGATAATAACACAACTTAAATAGATTTTTAAAAGATCTCGACTATATAAAGATAAAAACTATTTCACGAATCATTGAAATTCTAAACTATCGAATGAATTTATAAGTGAAATATAAGAGATAGACAAAAAAAGGTAAAAAAAACGAGTAGAATAAAAGAAGTGGGAGGATAAGTAGATGAGAAATTTCAAGAAGATGAAGAAAACTCGAAGAGGAAAAGAGAAACAAAGAAGAAAAAAATAAAATGTGATGGGAAAGAAGAAAAATAAGAGATAAATAAAAATTAGAACAAGATAATGTCAAAGAAGATGAAGAATGAAGATGATAAAGATAGAGAGAAGGGGGAATGAGGAAGAAGATAAACTGGAAAAAGAATGTAAAGAAAATTAGAAAGAAAAAAAAAGAATAGTAAGTTGGAGATATGAAAATACAATAAATGACTGAAGAACAAAAATTTGAAAAAGATAGAAGCAAGAAAAAAGAGGGATAAGAAAAAAATCATTACAAAATTGAACTTATTTTTTTTGTGCTTTCACAATTTATAAGTTCATATCAAATTAACAAATTATTAAGTTATTACTTCCTTGAAAAATAAACACATTACAAAAATATAAAAAGTAATTAAAAATAAAATGCGTTAATTTAATATTAATTGAAAGGATTGGAGTTCTGAAACATCTCTTGCCCGCGCGGGCGTTGGCCAATCACCTAGAAAAGATATGAAAATGCAAGAAAAGATAAAGACCAAAAATTGAAAGAAAAAAGAAGAAGAAGAAAAATATAGAAAGAAGAAGGAATAAACTTAAATATGAAAAAAAATAAATCAAACAAGAAAAAATAGAATGTAAAGAGAAAAAAAAAAGATAAAAGAAGAGATAAATAAAACTATAATAATATGATGTAAGAGAAGATGAAGATGATAGGGATAGAGAGAGGGGGAATAATGAAGAAGGAAAACCGGAAAAAAAATAATGTAAAGAAAATTAGAAAGTAAAAGACGAATAGTGAGTTGGAGAATACGAAGATATAAGAAAAGATAAAGGACAAAAAATAAAAGAAAAAGAAGAAGAAGAAAAAGATGATGAGAACAAATATGAAATTGAAAGAAAAATAAGAAAATGGAATAATTGGAGAAAAATAAAGGGGGAATTGCCAAATATAGTGCACAATTTGATTTGAAATGCAAAACTAGACCCTATATTGCATTTAGAGCAAAACTAGTCTTCTGGGTATGTAAAATTACAAACTACACCCTTATGAACAAAGAAAAAACGCTAGCCACAATGTCTGTTTTACCCCGTTTAAAGTCTATTCATGAAGTCTACTGCGTATTAGACTTCATGATAAAGTCTAATTCCTAATCACAACTCAAATTTAATTTATAAAATTATAGAAAATTTATTTGATCAAACAAAATTATACATAAATAAGATTAGAACATTTGGCATCCAAGAAAAATAAAATTGCATAAAAATGAATCTATGTAACTCAAGTAAGAGAAATTATGTTTGTAACCTATAAAATGTGTGAAGTCTACTCCATAAGTCTACTATATAGCAAAATCGTAAATTTAAAGTTTAAAATATGTTAAAAATATTTTGATCAAGGTATTTACACATAATTTTAACAAAGACAAGTACTATCCATGAAAAATAAATTTGCATATAAATTGATCAATTTAAATCCGGTAATACAAATTATGATATAATCCAAAAAATTTGTGTGAAGTCTACTCAAGAAGTCTGCTAAATAACAAAATCTAAAATTTAAAGTTTAAAATTTATAAAAAAACAATTTTGAAAAAAAAGACTATAGATAATTTAAATAAAGACAAGTAAAATAAAATTTCATGAAAATTAATCAATTTATAAGTTTCATGAGTAAAGCAATCATCAAGCTTAGTCTTTGAGGTATAATGTATAGGGTTTATGATTGTTATGGTTAGGGTTTAGAGATTTTTGACATAAAAAAAATATTCGCGGTTCTTTTAACGATTTAAAGTCAATGAATTCATAGTTTATAATGTAAATCATGATTATGTATACATTATTGATGTTTCGTATAGATTTGATCTTAAATATTTGATTTAGGGTTTAGGGTTAGTTAGATTTCATCGATAGACTTCATTAGTAGACTTTGCGATAAAGTCTAAAATTCAAAACACACCGGTGGGAAACAAAATATTTTGGGAAAGCTAGCGGGAACGGAAATATACTGAAATAAATTTTTGATACAATATAGTCGGTTTATGAGACTTTCAGATTAGACTTCTCTTGTAAACTTCATGATAAATTCTATTTAACCGAATTTAACCGAATTTTTTTTTCACTTAACCAGAAAGTTAGTCCTCGTATATAAGGAAGTAACCTTAATTTTGTGGGAAAAAATCTGGTAACTCGTGCACGGCGTCTCTCTCCCTCTCTCTCTCAGCTCTCCGTGAACCCCCGCCGATTCTTCTCTCCGTGAACCTTCGCCGCTTTTTATCGCCTGAGCGATGGCGGATCTCTCTCTACTCCAATGGATCTGCGCCGCATCTTCTCGCCTGAGCGAAGCCACTCGCCGTTAACCTTTGCCGCCTCTCCGTCGCCAATAACCACCACCTCCTTTTCCTTCTCCGCCTCTCTCTCTCTCTCCCTCGCATCTCTCCTCTCACCGTTGGATCTCTCTCTGATAGGTGAATCTCTCTCGCTTCATCTTTTCACCGCCATTATCTCGCTTCTCTCTCTCACTTTGATTCATGTTTTCAATTTTCCTGCTGAGAATGTGTTCTTATCTCTATTGAATGCCTATACCTTCTAGAGGTTCTGAGGGTTTCCTAGCTATTCTTGTTTCCTGGTTGAATTGCTCTTGATGTTGGAATCTGAAATTTGTTTTTTGTTCTTCTTGTATATATGTTGCAGCGCTCTGAAGCAGAAACTGAAGATGAACCAGAGAGAGGAAACTCAGAGAAGAATAAAAAGCCAAACTAGTAAGCCATTGTTCTCCACTTTCATCTGATTTTAGATTTCCAGTTTGATAGTTAAGAGATTACATTTTCTTTGATTTGGGTACTAAACTAATTGTGTTTTTTTTTTTCCTTTTCATCAGTTTTGTATACTTACTAACTTAAGATCTCGTCTATTGTTGGCATGTTGCATAGGATGATATTGAATTGAACAGCTTCTCCTTTCAAATAATGTGGGTTATGCAACCATGACAACTAGAGATGAGGGTATGGATTGGAAACTGAGAATATTTCTTTTACCTGCGATCGCTTCTCTTGCCTATTTCTCACTCATTAGCTTCACAAAGATGTGTGAGTCTTCCTCTTTAGATGCTCATTTTCATGTTAAATGTTTCTTAGGCTTGGTGTCTTAAGCGAGCCTTATGATTTACTTGTTCTCTCCTCTGTTTGTTTCCAGGAGGGTCTTCACTTTCTTTTCTGGAAGATCTACAAGTAAGTAGTTTTTCTTCTTCTTCTTCTTAGTCCATCGTTTTAAGGATTGAAAATTATCCTTGTTGAACTTTGTCTTTTGATCTGGAGCTGCAAAATTGTTATTTTTTTGAATCTGATGATGTGGTTTAAGGGACCATACATGTATGATAGTCAGATTTGGCTTGTTCATAAACATTTGATTGTGTTTTTACACTGAAGGAGGCTTGAGGATGTCTTGGATTCAGTTGCGGATCGTATATCAAAGACCCCGCTTGTTTCTCACTGATAAGCTGCAGATTTGTCTAGGTACAGCTTTCCTGTTTACTTGTCGAATTTCCAAATCAAATTCATTGATTATCTGCTGCTCTTTTCTTAGTCTTAGTCTATACTAACATGTTAGCTTGATGTTCATTGTACATATGCATAACTATTGTGTTGTAGTTCTCCGATTCTGTGGTAAAGCTATCATTTTTTCTTCCTTCGATCATTTTAACTGAGCATGTGGATTGCATGTTGATGTTGACTCGATTTCTTTTAATCCTGAATAGAATCCTATGCTAGAGTTTTTGATTTGGTTTTAGCTGAATGATTTGAGTGTTTGATATGTGAATTGATAAGTAATTGGGATCTTACAATCTGTTTTGAAGTCAATTGACTACTTGTTACTATTTTTCATTGTTTTTGGATTGATATTGTTTTTTTTTTTCTAAAGTAGCAGCTAATGTCAATGCTCTTCAGATCAAGACACATAAAGATTAATGTAGGAGATACATTGGAGCCCTCGATCACTCGATGATGGCAAGTGAGATGCCAATTGGTATTCAGATGGGAAGAATGTGCGGCTTTGTAGAAGTAGATGTAAAATGTTGTAAAACCAACTTGGAATTATTGATATACATTGTTTAAGTTTCAAGTAATAAAATTTTAAGACACAGAGAACATACTTCATAAGCAGACGTCAGTAAATATTATATTGACTCCAAACTTTTTCTATATAACAACTTTATATGTTGTAGCTTGAAAGTATAAAACATAAAAAAAATATGTAATGAATGTGTAGTAGATGACCATATTTAAAGATAACCAATGAGTATTGTATGACTTATGTAGATTTCATTAGTTAGGCTTTAAAATGAAACCATATATAAGCATTTTTTATGCAGTTTACCTAGTTAAAATAGACCAAGTTCAAACAAATAGTTAAACTTTATGAGTAGACTTCACAATAAACTTCACAAATTGTCCTTCTCACCCATTCTCCATAAACAGATGCAATGTAAACCATTTTCTGCAAGTAAACAAAAACCAACCGCATTAGACTTCATTATAGACTTTAGTGGTAGACTTCACCTATAAGTCTACCTAGTATTGTCTAATATTCAATTTTCACAAGAAAACCGTTTTCACGAAATATACAACGAATAAGCATGTCAAACTAACACACAAGCAACTAAACAGACTAACTCAACTAATTGTTCAAGAAAATCTTAAAAATTCGTTATATATTTTCCAAAAAGCGTTTTCAAATAAAACATTAAATAGTAGACTTCACGAGGAAGTCTATTTAGTAGACTTCCCTTGTGAAGTCTAATAGACTAGTTTTGCAATTTTTCAAATGACGAATTTTTTATGAAGTCTACACGTGAAGTCTACCGAAAAAAAAAGACTAGTTTTGCAATTGACCAAGCTTTGACTTTTACAAATAGACTTCATTATCGTGAATAGGCTTAAAAATGAAGTCTAACTAGAGAATGAAGTCTACTGGTGAAGTCTACAACAGGAATTAGACTTCATAGGGATTAGTTTTGCAATTGATCGAATTTTTGAATTTAGAAAATAGACTTCATCGTGAAGTCTACTCCGACAAACGTTGACTATTAGACTTCACCAGAAGTCTATCAAGAATTAGGCTTCGAAATGAAGTCTAACCCAGTATTAGACTTTGAATGAAGTCTAATACAACATTAATAGACTTCAGGGGTAGACTTCACGATAAAACAAACTACTGAAAGTTTGCAAAACTAGTCTTTTTTCAAGCAGACTTCACGGATAGACTTCTCATAAAAAGTTTTTATTCTGTCAATTGCAAAACTAATCTTTTCGAGTAGACTTCATTCTGAAGTCTACGCCATATTTTTTTGTTTTCAAAGGAATATGGGTAGACTTCATTGTGAAGTCTACTCTCTAAATTTTTTGAAAATCAATTGCAAAACTAGTTTGTTAGACTTCGCTATGAAGTCTAAGGACCTGCAAAAATATGAAATTCACTCAGATCTACCGGAATTTTACCTTGCCGTGATCTTAAGTTTCGTTGACGGCCTAGAACTTCGATTTAGAGCTTCAGCAAACTTCCCCAACCGTTATAATGATCTCCCACACCAAAAATGGGAAGATCTAAGAACATAAACTTTGAAAAGATGAAAATGTGTGTTCTTGGGGTGAAAATGGAGAAGAAATTGAAGAATACAAGTTTATGAGATGATATAATGAGTTTGTATATATATTTGAAGAGTAAATCATGCATTCAAAGCTTGATTTTGGTTGAGAATGGTTGTTGGACGAATTGATGGTGATGGCATTTTCGTGAATAAGTGAAGAAGATGAGGTTTCTTTGGACCTTTTATTTTCGTATTAGACTTCACGGTTAGACTTCAAGGACGAAAGTAATGGCATTTTCGTTATTATCACAAATATGGTGAGGATAAACAAGGAAGAAAAAAGAGTGAACTACTTTTGCATTTGACCTCAATTTTTGTACTACTTTTGAAAATAGCCCAAAAATAAAAGGGAGAAGAAAACAAGAAGTGAAATTTTTGGGAATGAAGAAGATTTTGTAGAAGAATGAGAATGACATAATCATAAAATTTACTAATTACGTTATTAAAATATTTAATTTATTTTTTTATTTAAAAAATATTGTACCCGCACAGGGTGCGGGCCAACTACCTAGTAATAATAATTTTAAGAAAAAACAATTATAATAAATTTTTGAAAAGAAAAATATACAGCATTTTACACATACTTGTAATAAAAAAAAATATAGCATGTATTTTTAAACTATATAAACAAGTATAAATAAAAATAAAACGAATTTAATGACATTGGTTCAGAAAAACAAAACAGAGAAGAAGAAACTGGTAAAAGAAATGAAAAAAGCTGTATATCGTGAAGACAAACTTAGCATAAAATCTATTTTATACAAATAACATAAATAAAATATTTGCAAGTATGGTTCTCTCATTTTCATGTCAAATCGGATGCCGTAGGCCAAAGCTTCTTATTTCTCTTCATAGGCACGGCTCTGAATACTTCTACAAGAGTCAATATTCAGGGATGTGAAGAGTTTGAGCATCGTAGTCATAGTATTTACACCTTTGTAGACTATGTGGAGAATCTCAAGTTGATGTAATTAAGTGTGTTGAATGGTTTCAAATAAAAACCAAACCCACTTAACCAAGTTTCCATTCCACGCAATACATAATACCATAACTGTGAGTCTGTGTCATATCTTTAAGAGATAGCATCATGCGCTTGTTTAAACCGCATTTGTATTACTCGTGTTTTTTCTAGCAAATAGTTAACTAGGGTGCAATGTTATTACTGATCGAGTGTCCAAGATCCAGATAAGCCTGGCAAATGTATAAAACGAATATCTCTTCAGATTTATATTCTCAAGAAACATCTTTCCATGTGATGAGTATTTGGATTTGACTGCTCTGTTACATTAGTGTGTTGAAGCAAGCCTTTTCCTTTTGAAGAAAGAAAAATCTGCAAAGAAAAAGCAAAGAGATTCCACAAGTTTGAATATTTTGAGCTCCTCAAGCCTCTTTGGATTTGAGCTCCTCATCCTCATCATGTTGGCTTTTAATTAGGTCCTCAGTCTCATGTTTTGTTTCAACAAAGACTTTCTTGCAGCTTCGTTAACTCTTCAATTTTCTGGAGTTTGGTTTCTATAGCTATCAGCAAAGATTTCATTTACCTTTGACAACTCATCAATCTTCTTTCGTTAAGAAGACTGCCTTTCTCAACGGTCTGCAGTTTGACAACTCCTCGAGCTCTGCAATTTGGTTTCTTTATCAACCAATCTCTCATTCACTTCTGACAACTCTTCAATCTTTTTCAGACAAGCATGCTCCACTCTTCAAAGTTTTGCTTCTTTATCCTTCACCTTTGACAACTCTACGTGTTTTCTGCTTTCATTCTCTCCCACATGTACATTTTCTTCAGATAAACTTTCTTCCCGTTTAAGTAAGTCGAGTCGATGGGAAATATACTGCAGCTGGGTTTAGGGCCTAATAAAGCCCATTTAGATTTCTTGCATATAAAGTCAACTAGGAGAGAAAGAAACCTAAAGTCTTAAAAGCTCTGATCTAGGATTTGTAAAACAGCGCCATGAAACGTTTGAAGCAGCAGCTCTACTCTGATCCTATAGGACCTATACCAGTTGATCTACTAATCGATATCTTCTCTCGAGTCCCTAGAGAGTCTATAGCAAGGTTTCGTTGCGTATCGAAATCGTGGGGATACATACTCCGTCGTCCCGATTTCACCGAGTTGTTTTTGACCAAGTCTTCCACTCGTCCAAGGCTCTTTTTCACCGTGAAAATTGATGCTGAAAAAGTTGTTCTTCTACTCATCACCACAACCTCAAAATCCAGATGATAACTCTACTCTTGTAGCCACACGTTATCATGCGTCATTCCCCGAATATTTTCCATCTGGTAGGTGTTCTACGGTCTGTGGATTGGCCCTTCTTCAGATTAAAAGAAAGGTGCGAGTGATTTGTAACCCTATCACGGGAGAGTTCCTAACCTTACCCAAACTGCTTCTGAAAAGCAAAACCTACCCGAAGTGAAAGCTAAAGGGAAGAGTAATCACACCACGAGAGAAAGGATTGCAAGAATCTCTCTTGGCTATGATCCGATCAACAAACAGTTCAAAGTGTTGTGTATGACCACGTCACTCGATGAAAGACCCAACACTCATCAGTTTTGACATTGGAGTCTGGAAAACGTTTGTGGAGAAAGATCGAATGCAAATTCCACTTTTATGAGAATAGTAGAGTTGGTGAGAAATATGCATAAATGGTGTTTTGTATCTCGGAGCTACGATGGGAAAATCTTCGGTGATAGTTTGCTTTGACGTGAGGTCTGAGAAGTTCAGCTTTATTAACTTGGATAAGGACATGGAACGATATGACCCTTTTTGTAATGGGTATGCATGTGGTTACTTGACTTTGTTCAACTACAAAGGTAAATTAGGTATACGTCAGAATACAAGAAAGGATAATATTCCACTTGTGTTGTGGGTTATAGAAGATGCTCAAAGATATAAATGGTTCAAGCAGGCCTACGAATTGCCTCCTTTGATCAGACGGAAATGGTTTGTAGGAATGACTGGCGCTGGTGAAATCGTGTGGTACTGGCCTTGCTGCTTTTACTTGTACAATCTCGAGAGGGAAACTTGTACAAGAGTCAATATTCAGGGATTTGAAGAGCTCGAGCATCGTCGTACTACTCACATCTTTGTAGACTATGTGGAGAATCTCAAGTTGATGTAATCAAGTGTGTTCAATGGTTTCAAATAAAAATCAAACCCACTCAGCCAAGTTTCACACCAATGCATCATACCAAAAGGTCCAAAACTGTGTCATGTCTTTAAAATATAACATCCTGCGCTTGTTTAAATCGCATTTGTATTGCTCGTGTGTTTTTTCAAGGAAATTGTGTTCACTATTGATTGATCCATAACTCAGATATATATTCTCAAGAAATGGTTTAAAAGATCTTTCCGTGTGATAAGTATTTGGAATTTTCTGCTATGTTACTTGGATTCAAAACATGAGTGTGTTGAAGCAAATTCCGTTTGAAAAGAAAACTCCGCAAAGAAAAGCAAAGAGATTCCACAAGTAAGATAACTTAATCAGAACTAACAGCTCTACAATACCAATTCCGAATGTATAAAAAGGTTAGTTTCGTTTTGGTTTTATGTTGCAGTTTCAAAGTGTTTTCACTCCGGTTTCTCTTGTGTGGAAATAAGCTTTTTCTCTAGCAACTTTGAAAATTATACCATCTTATTAACCGACATTGAGCTTATCATTATCATGGATTCAGTTAGTTTCTTTGTTATGTAGACTCTCTTTCATCTTTGACAACATTACTTCACATTAATCTCTTTGATTTTCTTGATTTCGTTCGTTTTCCTTGTCAAGTTGGCTCTGCTCGACATGTAACCAGCTAACCTAGCTTCTTCAAAGACGATGATTGATTTCTTGGCCTCCTTCTCTTTATCATGTTAACTCTGTTTTAAGGTTTTTCAAGTCTTCTGAACCAATTTGAGGCAGCTTTGGCCTTGAGCTTCTCATCTTCTTAGCTCTTTTTTTTTCTGTGAGATTTTTATAGAATTATTTGTCTTGCAGTTAACTTGTATATTTGAGAGGGAAAGAAGTGAACTACCTGATAGAACTCGTGGTCGGTCTTCAAGTCAAAAATAACTGAATCTGTCATGACATTTCTACAAGTTAGTTATAAGACCTAGAGATGGCTGGAAAAGTGAGATAGAACCACATAAAAGCTTTAAGCTGAAGCAGGTCACATTTGAAGATGGACACCTATCTATCTATCTATCTGGAAGGAAAGCTCTTCCTTGGCTTCTCTAACCAAGCCAAGCTTAGGATCTCACCAAGAACTGATCATCACACGATTGAGCCGCTCAGATCATTTTGATAGTCTCATTCTTATCATTGAGACATTCTTTTCAGTCAACACCTCCTTTGACCTTCCTCATCTTTCGCCTCTCCACCTCTTTCTTGCAGAGACTTAATATCTTTGTCAAGTTCTTTAAGATTTTTGTAGTATTGGCTTCTTCTTCTTTTGCTGCATGCGCCTCAATTTCCTTAAGTAAGCAAGTTCTCCAACTTGCTAAGTTTTCTCTGCAATCTGCACAGAGAACTTTGCATTGAGGCGGAGGAAGGATGGATTGTAAGTGCAAAGAAGCCAGTGTAGACCAAAAGCTTAGAATATAAATTGTAACATCTCGTGGAACTGTAAGTTTGAACAATATACAAAGAGGGACAACTAGCCTCCAGTAATTTGTTCACAAGTAAGATAACTTTAACCAAATCTATTTTACAACCCTCAAGAACATTTTACAAATGATTAAACCCTTACACTTTTCTTCTGATAATCATGTCAATACATGGGATGAAATTGGCAATTCCATAGACAATTTCAGGCTCGTTCAGAAAAACAAACTGGCTAGGGTCATTAAAATAAGTCACCTTGTGCATATGATGCCTTTACTTGCTGTATTTGAACCGAACTTGGAACATAACTCTCGAGAAATGGCCAACAGTCATCAGCTGGTCCTTGTGCAATCTCTCCCCGAATTTGTTCACACACATGTATATTCTTCTCGTCTCCTCCAACAATGTAAATTACGGTCTTGTTTCCATTTTTGGTGTCTCTACCACTACACACGACTTTTTCATTTTCCTCGTCCACCAAGAAGCTCACCACGGTCATACCTCTTCTCAAAACGTTACTGAAATCAACTACTAAGACATATTGGATATCTGTGACGGCCTCTTCGATCTTAGTGTCTGTCACCCATATCTTCATCTCTCTTGATGACGAACCAAAACCGGGCTTATCAAGTAACACAGCAAGTTTATCTTCTCTAACCACTGAGAGAAACATAGTTCCGTAACCACTATACTGAAGAGAAAAACGTTCAAATCTCTCTCCTGTGAAATCAAACCTGAGAAAGAATTGAATATCGTCATCTTCCTCTTGATCACAAGCAACCCAGTAAGTATTTCCCTTCAAAGACACGCCACCACTAGTTATCATTCAACTCCAAGGAAATATTATTATTCTTTTGTAATCCGTTGAATATCTTTGAGCGTCTTTATCGACAAGTCTCCATGAATCAGAGTTAAAATCATACATCTCAAGATTTTGTAGCTATCCCAAGAATATTTGTCCTTGTTGTTTTAGTATCCTAGTGCATACAAATCGTCACGATTACCGGGTTGGCTCCGGATCCACCTGGTTTGACCAGTACAAGGGTTCCAAACCACGATTCTTTTGTCTTTGGTGGTGCACAAAAACAAACCCTCGCACTGAAAGATAGCATGTATCATCATCTGTTCTGAATCTCTTAGGCTGTTGGGTTTACCTGTAAACTCAATGGATGAATCAAAGCTCTTGTTGTTGTTGATTCCATGGAGATTGAGGTTAACTGAATAAACACCAAAATATTTCTTTAAGATAAACTGCCTTCCTGCTTGACCTAATTTCTTCTCCATGAATCTAGGGTTTTTGAATAAAGCATACCATCGTCTGCAGGTATATCTATGTTTAGACACGTGGGAGGAACCCTAGAGAGTATTTCCCATTCCAATTCTCGTGGGAGATCGGTAAACATTCTATCTTTTGGTCTACCCTCAAGGAAGAACAGAGAAATATTAGGGTTTTAAGTTTTTGACATTAGCAATCATTATAATGTTGGATTTCAGCTGAAAAGGAAAATTTAATCAAACGGTTTAGATTACTCCGTTAAAGTACTCATTTTTTTCTTTCCGTTGTTTGGTTCTTTATTCATGAACTTACATTATGCTTCTGAACAAACTACAGTCCTCATGTGGTGACTCTATAAGTTGACCCAATTTCTAGACAATAAATTGCTGGATTATCGATATTGTAGCTAAGTTTAGTTTGGAGTTGTCTTCGGTTCAAAAGAAATGGATAATCTTAGAAGCTGCGTCTGCGTAAAAGAAGAAACTTGCATAAGTATTGTTGTTACTCTTGATTTGGGTTTGCAGCAGATATTTCATGTCATACACGAAAATACTTTTTAAAGTTTTAAAATTAAAGTTTCACAATATATGATGTTCTAACATTTATACACTTATTAAGAAACATTTATTGTTTAATATTACTTTTTTAAGGAAATCAAGTTTTAATAAATATTAACCAATACAAATTTGAAAGTTTAATTATTTTTAATTAATAAGTTTTTGAAATTTGTAAAAGTACCTTAGTCAATTGCAAAACTAACCTGTTTTTAAAGTAGACATTTTCTTGAGGTTTACGCCTATTTTTTTGTTTTCAAAAGTATTTTTTAGACCTCCCTACGACATCTAACTCCCCAGATTTGTCATGGACAATTGCAAAAGTAACATATACGTTGACCTATAGACCTCATACTGAGATCTACTAACTCGACACAGATATTAAAACAACTAAAATGGAATAAACCACTACATGGCCGTTGTTTTTAGGGCTTCTGAGGGCTGAAACTATCACTTTAACCCTTCAAAACCATTTGGCGGTGATGAGGATTAAAAACCCGAATTATGAGAAAATCAAGAACTTGAAATTTTGAAAAGTTGAGTTAGAGAGTTTTTGGCATGAAAATGGGGAGAAAATGGAAGAGTAAGAGTGTAAAGGATGTAAGATTATATTTAGAGTTTTACAATTACGAGTATGAAGCATTTAAAGCTTGGAGTTAGTTAAAAATGATAGTTGAATTCATTGATGAGAGTGTCAATTTTGTTAATAAATGTAGAAGATGAGGTTCAGTTGGTCTTCTGGCAGAGAATGTAGACTTCTGCCGTATACCACAAGGGAAAAAATAACGTTAGTATCGTGATTATTTGGAAAAAATGGGTAAAGTTAAAATGAAATATAAAGGAGATTACTTTTACATTTGATCGATAACAAATTATGGGTCAAAAGTGCAAACATCCCGCAAAAGTAGAAAAGTATAGGCACAATTAGGCCTGTACCTTCTTTTCCGAAACCTCATCGCTGAAGCAAAAAACACGGACTCAAACTGAACCAATATAAGAAAATTTACCCAATGGATAAAATATTTTAATACCAATAAATATCCAGTAATACCCAAATCTAATAGATACCATATCAAGTACCCGAATGACCCAAATTATAGGTAATATTTTATATTTTTTGAATATTTTTATAAGTTTTCTAATATATTTCAACATATATATATATATTTTCGGATTTTAGATATTTTTGGAGTTTTTTATGTATATTTTTCCAGATTTTTAGATATATTTTGGATTTTTTAATATATATTTTTAGGTTTTTGGATATATTTTAAGATTTTCTGATATACTAAACTGAAACTCCTTAGGAACCTATATAGATATAGACTTTATATACCCGATAGACCAGTTCCCGATTGATTCCAAGTTCCAACCTCAACATCGCTCGAACACCCGAAATCTCAAGCCTAAACACAATAATTTCTCAACACTAAAGAACCTAGAATGGCTATTTAATAAATAAACCAAAATATTTATCGGAAAAAATTAGTTGCAAAACAATAGGGTTTCAAGCTCAGAGAATTAAGCAAACTTGATATTTAGAAAGTTAAATAAGTTATAAAAAATAAAAGCATGCATGTTAGGGAAGTCAAGAAAGATCAATTAACACATTGTAAATAGATGCACCACCATAAATGTAATTTAATAAGTTTGTAAGCTCCATCACTTCGTCAAAACTAATAGAACAAAGGATAGACACTAGTACCATAACAATGTCATTTTCAATAATTATTACTGCAAAAACTAAAGTCAGCAAATAAAATTTTATAAAACCTAACACAATAATCATCAACAACGTATTATGAGGATGTCATTTCTCAAGTTTTGAATGATAAGTAACTAGAGCATATTGCAAAACAACCATAGAAATAAGTGATCTGTTCTCCAGACAAATCTTGTAAATTTAAAACACAATAGAACTAACATCGAAATTCAGATTGTCAAACAAAAAATTATCAGTAATTGTTTTTGTCCATTAATCATCAATGTATGATGTAAATGTTAGAATGCGAGGATGTCATTTCACATGATTAGAATGACCACCAAAGAGTTAGGGCATAATGATAATGCCATACATATACATTCGAGATTCAAGGAAACTATTACCATAACATGCATGAGTCTAAAAACATACATTAAACATAAATATCTACATGACCTTTATTCACAAAGAAGAAAAGGAGTTTGAAGTTTGCGAGCCACATTAGGAAAAACACATTGATTAAAGTCGAATCCATTGATGATGAGAATAGACTAACAGAGGAAGAACAAGAAAAAAAAAAAGCAAGGGCGGGAAAAACATAAAGTAGTCGAGGAACCCAAGTCAACATGAAAATGTAAGTCAAACTACTTAAATATCGTTTTGGGAAAAATATTGATTAATCAAGGTTAGTTCTTCATGGGGATGGTTACATCATTTGTGACCAAAAACAAAGAATATGTAGATAGATACGCAATAGGTAGATCAAATCAATTAGCTAATAATATTTTCAAGCAGTTAAAACTAACATATCTATCAGAAAAGAAAATCTGACTTCTGTAAATGGAGTAAACTTAAGTAGACTTCTAATCATTATCAGGACAAACAAAGAAGAACAAGAAATTGTAGCTACAAGAAGAGGAAGGATATACAAGATCACATTCACAATTGCACACTTTAATAAAACTAAGCGCAAGTAAACATTAGCATAAAGTGGCACATGCATACATTTAATTAATAATCTGTAATTCAATAAAGACACAAAAGAAGATAACTATTTACAAAAAACGTTCATCATAATTTTTCAAAGAAGATTTTTATAGAAAACCCCAGCACGTTGAATATTAAGGACTTATAGTTGTAAGTAGAACACCTCAAACAAAGATATCAAATAATACTACAAATATTATACGTACATAAATAAAAATGGTTCGAGTGTTGGGAACAGAACTGATTTGGACACCAAAGTTTCAATTATTTCTAAAATTATTTTCAGTAACTATCTTATAGCAGAGAAAGACAGAGAAAAAGATAACAAGACTACAAGAGTTTCAGTTATTGCAGAGAAATATCAAAATTTACAGAAAACTGGATTTTGTCAAAAACTTGCAAGTCTAACAACTACGATACACAAAATATTGACATCAACAGCAGAGAAAATCAGAGCATCTATTCTACATACCAAGGAGGATGATAAAATTGGTACTCTAATAATGCAAATGGCTTGATTTTCATTTAAGAAAAATGTTATTAAAACAAAAAGAAGCATGTAATGGGAAATCAAGAAAGATTACACACAGGAATAAATAGATTTCCAAGACAGGTTAATCAGTTTACCATACTGAGAATATTCCAGTAATCAAGAAGCAAAAGTCAGTCTCAGACCAGAAGCAAATATCACTGTTAGTCATAAGAAAGAATGAACAAAAATCTGGTTACAAAATAAAAATAAAAACATTGAACAATAGGCACACAAACAACCAACCAACCAAAATGTAAGGAACGTCTTCACCAGACAGACCTAAATCTAAAACACAACAATAAACTACACCAATATTCACATTGTCCATCATAAACATACAATCATCTGTTTACCACAGTTGGGCTCTGTTTTTTTAAGTCACCTGATATGTTCAACTAAAGCCAGCAAGTACAATTTTGTAACCTAACACAATTATTAATACGAGGATGTCATTTCCCAAGTTTTGAATGATCATCAAGTCACTAGAGCATATTTTCAAAACAATCATAGAAACTGATGGACCTTTAGTTAAGATAAATATACAAGAACAAGTATATTTCCAAGAAAGGTTAATCAATTTACCATATTAAGACTATTCCAACAATCAAAGAAAGAAAATTCAATATGCTATCATCAGACCCATACCAGAAGCAAAGATCACAACCGGTTTGAACAAAGAATGAACAATTGGTAGACATACATTCAACCAAAATGCAAGTAATCTGTTCACCAGGCAAATTTATAATTTAAAACACAACAAAACTAACATCGAAATTCATATTGCCAAACAAAACAATCATCAATAAATGTTTTTCTCTAGTCCATTAATCATCAGTGTATGATGCAAATGTTAGAATGCGAGGATGTCATTCCGCATGATTAGAAAGATCACCAAAGAGTTAGGGCATAATACAAAACATATACATTCGAGATTTAAGGAAACTACTACCATAACATGCATGAGTCTAACATAGATTAAGCACATATTTCTACATGACCTTTATCGAGAAAGAAGATTAAAGTCAAATGCACATGATGAGAAGTAAAAACAGAGGAAGAACAAGAAACAGAGCAAGGACGGAAAAAAACAGAAAGTAATGGAGGAACCCCGATTCGATTCTGGGTATTAAGTAGTAACAAACTAACAATAAAATACAGAGATTATTTCATAAAGCCATAATCTCTGGAGTTATTCTTCATTCTCTTGGATTGATGTCTTTTTGGATTCTAAGGTTTTTTTCTTACAATGACAGATGTTTTAATAGGGTTTATCATGTTTAAAAAGTAATCCAGATGAAGAGGGGATTAGGGATGCAGTTTTACATGTACAGTGAAAAACCAAGATGCGTTATGTTTGGAGGTTTGGAACAAAAGTGATTTTGACACCAAAGTTTCAATTATTTCTAAAACTATGTTATTGCAGAAAAAGTCAGAGTAAAAGATAACCAAAGTTTCAGCTATCCCAAAACTATGTTATGGCAGAGAAATATCAAAAAGTAACAGAAACCTGGATTTTTGTCAAAAACTTGCTAATCTACTCTTACAGAAACTACGATTCACAAAATAATATTGACATAAACAGCAGAGAAAATCAGAATATCTATTCTACATGCCTATAAGGAGGAAAATAAAATTGGTACTCAGATTTTGACTAAAGAAAACTGTTACTACTTACTAGCACATTCTAAATAATTGCACTTTTAATGTAATTTAATGTATTTCCAAGTTCCATGCATCAACTATGTAAACACTGAAGAGGCCAATGTTTTTAAACTATAAGTCTATAACAATGATATTTCAGTCATTGTTACTATAAAAACTGAAGTCAGCAGGTACGATTTATATAACCTAACACAGTATTCATCACCAACGTAGGGATGTTGAATTACGAGGGTGTCATTTTAGAAAGATCATTAAGTCATTAGAGCATAATGCAAAACAATCACAGACCATCACAGACAAATATGGACCCTTCATTGAGTATAATGTTAGATAAACACAAGAATAAATATTTCCAAGTCAGGTTAATCAATAGGTTAATCAATTTACCATACTGAGACTATTCCAATAATCAAGAAGGCAAAAGTCAGACTTGTACCAGAAGCAAAGATCACTGTCATTCGTAACAAATAATGAACAATAGGCAGACAAACAACCAACCAAAATGTATTCACCAAACAGATTTTATAATCCCAAACACAACAAAAAGTTAACATCGAGATATTCTATATGTCCATCATAAACAAACAATGAACAAGAAATGTTGTTTTCTTGCTCAATAATCATCAGTGTATGATGCATATTTAGAATGTGAGGATGCTATTTCGTATGATTAGAATGATCACCAAAGATTCAGAGCATAATGCAAAAAATTTAAATTTGAGATTCAAGGAAACTAACACCATAATATGCATGAGTCTCAAATACGTTGAAAATAACTATCCACATGAAACTACTCCAGTATACATCTTTTTCTAAAAATGAGACCCCTAATGATACATACACACAAGCACCAAAACAAAGATGATAGGTATATCTCTATTCAAGATAGAGATTACTGTAATTCTAAACACACAATATTGTAACGTTCAAATAAGCAAGAAATTTTGTACCACTTTATCAGATATGGTGAGAAATAAATATCTACAAGAGATTCCAAGATACGCCTTTTTCATTAAATGATAGACCTTACACAAAAGCACCAATTCAAGCATAAAGTCAAGGCAGTGGTTACTCAATAATCACACTGTATACAGAAAATATAATGTTCTAATACCTAAAATCTACTTGTTCATCAAGAATCTGATAAATAACTAGATAAAGGATAGTAGCACGCATTATCTACACAACCATATATTAAAGAAATACTTAAATGGCACTTAAGATCAGTATTTTTAACTACGTAGATATACATAAACTAACTTAGTTTGTGATTTTCATATGAACTAATATCAATTTAATACAGAAAGATCTAGAAAGCTCATACCTGTGAAGTCTCTCTGACTGAAGAGCAGATAAGTTCTTGAGAATTATGAACACCTATATATCAAAGAGAAACTAAAATGGCACTTAGATGAGTATTTCTAACTTTGTGATTTTCATATATAACAATATCAACTAAATACAGAAAAATATAGAAAAGTGCATACCTGCGAAGTCATTCTGTCTGAAAAAAGCAGAGAAGTCCATGCGAATATGAACATTTTCTGTAGCATATACCTGAAAAATCAAAATTAGAAATAGTTAGTCTCTACTTCAAGCAAAACACCTCATACTTACCTTGTCACTTTCAAGGCACAGATCATGAATCGTCTTATACATGATCTTTGTCTCAAGACTCATTCTCCAAGTCTTTGTCTTAACTCTTTTGTAAGCCGTGGGTAAAGTGAGTAATCTTTTCCAAGTCTTTGTCTTAAGACTATTACTCTTTTTAAGCCGTGGGTTACTAAGACTCATTGTCCAAGTCTTTGTCTTAACTCTGTTTTAAGCTGTGGGTAAACTGAGTAATCTTTTCCAAGTCTTTGTCTTAAGACTATTACTCTTTTTAAGCCGTGGGTTGCTAAGACTCATTCTCCAAGTCTTTGTCTTAACTTTGTTATAAGCCGTGGGTAATGAGTAATCTTTTCCAAGTCTTTGTCTTAAGACTATTACTCTTTTTAAGCCGTGGGTTACTAAGACTCATTCTCAAGTCTTTGTCTTAAGTCTGTTTTAAGCCGTGGGTAAGCTGAGTAATCTTTTCCAAGTCTTTGTCTTAAGACTATTACTCTTTTTAAGCCGTGGGTTACTAAGACTCATTCTCCAAGTCTTTGTCTTAAGTCTGTTTTAAGCCGTGGGTAAACTGAGTAATCTTTTCCAAGTCTTTGTTTTAAGACTCTTACTCTTTTTAAGCCGTGGGTATACTAAGAAACATTCTCCAAGTCTTTATCCTAAAGACCTTTTCTTAGTTGTGGTAGTAAAGTAACAAATCCCTTTTCAGTTCACAGTCTTATCCCTAAGACTCTTTCCAAGCCGTGGGTACAAGTAAAGTAACAGATCCACTACTTTACTTTCGCTAACCCGTGAGAACTAGCTTAAGACTTCTTTAAGCATTTGTTCATTTTTCCATCGAGAATCTCTTACCATAGTCTGTCTTTTCGAAACATTTCCAGCCTTTGATCGTTTGTTGTCTAATGGCTTTCCCCTTGTGTTCATATTCAAGAACAAGTTTACGGGTCATAGTCTCTGTTTTTCAGCCTTGTGGTGATATTTAAGAGATCGTTTTTGGTTCATAGTCTATGTCTAGACTGATGGATCCAGCAAAATCCAAAACCGACCCAGTCTTCTTCTAAAGACTTTTTTCAAGCCGTGGGTACTAGCTTATGACTTCTTTAAGCATTTGGTCTTTTTTTCCATCCAACAAATCGAGACTCTGCCCATAGTCTCTGTCTTTACAAACTTTCCAGCCATTGATCGTTCTTTGTCTAATGGCTTTTGCCTTGTGTTTATAGTCTCTGTTTACGGGTCATAGTCTCTGTTTTTAAGACTTGTGTAAGCCTTGTGGTCATATTTCAGACTTACTTTTTCGGTTCATAGTCTTAGTCTATGTCTCTAGACTGATGGATCAACACATCAAAAAACTGATCCAGTCTTTTTCGAAAGACTAAAGCCGTGGGTAAGTATAAATCTGTTTTAGACATTGTCCTTGTCTTAAAACAGTTTTCAAGCCGTGGGTACAAGTAAGGCAGCAGATTCACTACTTTCTCTTAGTCGTGGGTACTAGCTTAAGACTTCTTTTAAGCATTGGGTCATTTCTTCCACCCAACTAATCGAGAATCTCTACCCATAGTCTGTCTTTGGATAGTAATAAAGTAGTGAATCCGTTAAGTCTTTGTAAGGACTTTTATAAGCCGAGGGTAGTAACGGATTCACTACTTTTCAAGCCGTGGGTACAAGTAACTCGTCAGACCTTTTTATAGTCCTTAGACTCTCTAAGCCATCGGTCATAATTCCCATCCAACAAGTCCAAAACCAGTTTATAGTCTTGGGACTTTTTATAAGCTGTGGGTAGTAGTAAAGTAGTGAATCCGTTAAGTCTCTGTCTAAAGACTTTTATAAGCCGAGGGTACTAACGGATTCACTACTTTTCTCAAGCCGTGGGTAGGTAAGTAACGGTTTCACCATTTTATAGTCCTTAGACTTTAAGCCCATCGGTCATGTTTCCCTTCCAACAAGTCTAAAGACTTTAAGAACATCGTTTTTTTTTCCATCCAACTCAACAAAACCCATAGTCTTACTCTAAAAGACTTTCCAGCCCCTGACTTTCCTTTGCTTAGACATGCACTACCAACCAATCAACCGGGACATGTCCCCAAACAAGATTCTGACAACACACTATTAGATTAGTGTCTGCCAATGATCTTTTGGGTTTGGAACTTTGATAAAAACCAAAACCGAAGCGTAAATGCTTTGAAAACCTTGATAAAAGCATAACCAAAAGCGAAAAGATTTTGAGTTTTATAAAAAAGAGGACCTTTGTTGTTAGAAAACAAGAACACAAAAACCAAAAAATAACGAGTAAAAGAGCTAACCTGTTTTCTGCCGTTCATGTAACCGATGAGAACTGATCGTATGGTTTCACTGTGCAGGCTGAATCGAAGTATGCTAAGCAGATTTCTTCCCCTGCACATATGGAAACAGCCAAATAAGTTGGTTAAAAAGAGTTGATGACAATTAATTACACATATTCCGTGAATAGAATTAAGTTGGAGAACTGTTTTGCTGTCAAAACACATAAGCAATGTCAACAAATAATACAACTTGCTGTTTCTTTCTTTAGTCTCCACTTACAGGGTTAAGAATCCAAGCAAGATATGTTGCCGCAGCAATGGAAGACCTTCCACTTGTGAAGTGTTCCAAGATATTTAATACAACCAAAGCCCTGAAAGAAGATACACCATAATTCAAAAACCACACACAGGGACATGTAAACGTACCATTCGGTTTTGTCACCTAATGCTTGAAATTTTCTTGCAATTAGTATATCGTCGTTGTTGCTCAGGAACAGCAATTGGTTTCTGCAAGAAACTCAAAGACAGAAGCAAAGTAAACAAAGAGAGCAAACAAAGCAGAAGCTTTCCTGAGTGACGCCGCCTTGTTCCATCTCTCCGTCGTCTCCGCCTCCACTAATAGAGAAAGAGGACGAAGATGAAGAAGACGATCCAGAAGAGCCAGACGACCGCTTCGTGCCGAGGAACTGAGACGGAAAATGGCGGAGAAGGGACCGGCGGCGGCAGATCGAGGCTTATCGGAAGCGAGGGAGGAGGATCCGTCGGAGATGACGCAATCGACGCGAACGACGAGATTCTCGACCTCTTGGAAACAACGCAACAACGACCAAGGGCCTTGACATCGTAAATAATAAGATTATGAAACATCTAAGATTCATCCGTCGTAAATAATAAGCTTGCATCATAATTCAAGAAAACAAATTAATAAATCCAGCTATATATATATGTGACGCCAATTCCAAATCACTTTCTACTATTATTTCTCAGATTTTTTTGGTTTTGGTTATGATAAAGTTTATATATATAAAGAATGGGAAACCTAACCAATCTTATGCATGTGTTTGTAATGATCCGTATGTATACGTGCAAAAGACAAACACATATGTACATTTTTCTTGTAACTTCACAAAGACACAATGATTAATCATTGAATTAGGAGAAAATTACATTTAGAGGCATTTTGCCCAATTGAAATTACACAACAACCCTCTTTATTAAAATACATATCGCTTTTAACATTAATCATCCATGAAACATCACCATTTTTACCGAATCATCAACTTATTCCTCTCAATCTGTTGTGCAATTTGTAAGAGAGTTAATCCCGAGAAAGCACAAAAAGAGAGAAGAAAATAGAATTTGGGAGAGGAGAATTAGTATTGCCAGAAAGCGAAAAAAAAAGAGAAACAGAAGAAAAATGAATTTGGGAGAGAAATGGTTTTACGAGAAACTGAGGAAATAGTTCAATTTTTTTCTGTCTTGACAATAAAATGATTTGTTTCCAACGGATATATTTTGATATTTAAAATTAAAAGGGTAAAAAAGAATCAACACAGCAAAAGTTTCTCTGTCTCTCAAGATGTTGACATGTAGGATTTTTTAGAGTTTCTCAAACTTACACATCAGTTAAAATAAGGAACCAATCAAAACATTTAAAATAATATCAGTCAGCTTTTTCGCTGGTTTATTTGCCACGTATTTGGTCTGTTCCGGTTTGATTTAATTATTTTCTTTCAAAAATTTGATTTCGTTTCATTATTCATCTCTTCCATAATTAGAAAACCGGTTTCGAAATCAATCATAGCCGATTTCCAGTTTCCGGTTGGGTTATCCATTTGTTCTTGAAGAAAAATACGCCTAATCCTTTGTGTTGGAGCTCCGACTTACATGGCCACCATTATTGAGTATCAGTTCGTCTCACTCACTCTCTCTCTCTCAATTTGGTAGGAGCATATTTAGCATCAATTTTTAAGCTCAGATTTTGCGGTGATGTGTGGTTTTCAGCAATATGTGGGTGGCAATGAAAACTAACGGAAAAGTGAAGAAGAGTTTCAGAGGAAGAAAGGCGGTGGTTAAATAACAATTGATCTCGAAATCGAACAGAGCCGGTTCCAATTCCCGGTGAGGAGAACAATTTGTTCTTGAAGAAATGGCGATACACTCCCAAAGCTCGGTGTTGGAGCTTCGGTTTTCATGGCCACCATTCCGGAGCATCTCGCCGCCAAAGTAAGTTTCTCGAAACAAAATCCAGCTACATGAAGCTTATCGTAGCGGACGAAATCAGCTAAGATGCGGAGATCCAGAGGCATTATTAATTTGTTATCGCCGGAGAGATGGAGGAAAAGGGACACGTGTAGGGTAGATATGTAGATGAAATTGGAAGGTGATGATAATAGGAAAAGAAACTGAAGTGGAAGGAGAGAGGGAGCATTAATAGAGTGTGATTTATTTTTTATGGCTACAAGGTTCGTTTTATTTTTGTATAAATAGCCATACCTTATTTCACCCCTCTTATTCAATGCTGGTTTTTTCTTCTCTATCCTAAAATATGTACAGATTTAATTTATGAATAAATGTATGTATAGTCATAAAAATAGGGAGGTTTAACATTAAAAAGGAACATAATTATCATAAAATATATGTTTCTTTTTTCTTTGGGATCTTGAAAAACAATAAGATACATTTATCAATTTCGGGTTTAACAAAGAAAGAATATAAAGCAAGTATTATACTTGTACGTCAATAATACTAATTTGATATGCTAATTGATAATCAATTTGAGATTCCATCTCATTTTTTAAGATACAGTTATTGGATTTTGGTTTTGGTATCCGCGCTCCATTTTCATGTAGTGTTTTCAGTCTAGGCCATTCCAATTGCTTTTAGGAGGCGGACCTTTAAAAACAGTATGTTGATCATCAGTCGATTTCCCAATAAGAGATCCAATGTCTGACCGGATTACTTGAACGACTGCGCCTAAAAACGACGGAGACAGAGAAAAAGAATATGAACATAAAACAAGAAGAATATCAAACCTTATGAAATTTAGACCCATGAATTACAATGCCTATTATGCTACAATGTGAATAAGGAATACATTCAAAACCCATAAATCATATCTTAGTAATTCAAAATAAAGAACTGTGAGGGAACATATGGACATGAACATTATGATAAGGAAAACCTAAGTTTGCTCCAATTCTGTCATCGCCAAGTCGTCGACTGTACCAGTTTCTAAAGATCTACCCATGAACCAAGATTAGACTTGATCAATTAAGCTGATGTGATAGAGCAGATTCAGAAATTCTGCAAGTGTGAAAGAGAGATTTTTGTATACTCTTTACAAATGAACCCCCTTTTTAATCAATTGTAAGTATAGCTTGAGGTTCTTTGTCAAATCCAGTAAGGTCAAGATAAAGACTTCAAGAATGCATGAAACATAAGTGAGCTAAGCAAATTCGAAATGGTTTTGTTTTAACAACCTAAATGAACATAAAGCATAAGATAAAAATGCAAGAGATGAAAGAAATACGAATGGAGGCACTTGGGATGAGGGTCATTGACCTTGGGAGATTCTCAAGTCAGTTTATGATGCTCAAACAGTTTAATGATTGCTAATCCTTAGGCAAAGAACTCATTAACAAGACTAATCCACTCTCATGGCACTAATCACTTTGCTAATTACCAATCTCAAGAACTAATTCTCATTAGTGAAATTGATAAAAGCAAGCATAAAGATTCAGTTCTAGAAAGCCAATAAACACCCTAGACAATCACTCTCATGAGCTAGGAATGTAAATCCTTTAGATGGTTGGTTCAAGCATTTCATCAAACACTTGTGGTGCATGAAATGCCTAAGATCTAGAATCAACTTGATCAGAGAAGATCTAGCATTAAGACCACCAAATAAAGAAGGATTAAGCAAATCAAGTCCTAAACATCAAGGTTGACCATCAAATCTCCCTAAATCTAACTCATCCCATGAGCCTAAAGAGAACTACTCAAAAGACATGAGAAATTCGAAATTAAGAGAAACAAGATGATGATTATGATAAACTAAGATAAATGAGAAAGATTCAAAGAAGTACTTTCAAAATCATTAAAATCAAGCCAAGATCTTACAAAAACGAAAATAAAAGAAAGGAGGCAAAGAGAGAGGTTTTTGATCAAGGAAAAGATCCAAGATGCCTAATAAAATTAGGTCTTCAGCTATTTATAGTAAAAGATAAGTGAACCCTTGGTCAACTCCGTCCCTGTTGACTTTGTCCTTTATGACGGTCTTGAGCAAACTTCTCAAGTGCTTTGTTCTTCTTGCTCAAGTCCTCTGGTCTGCGAATTTCTTGAACACTTCTGAGCTCTGATCAGCTTCTAGCTTCTCTGTCTTGCTCCAGTCACTACCAACTTGCCTCCAGCTTGCTAAACGCCTCAAACACCTAGGAAAACACTCCAAATGCAATGGAAAATGCAAAATGCTATTTAAAAGCTAAATGTTCCTAAGGAGATGAAACCTATACTAAATGGTATGAAATGAGACTCAAAGACATACAAAACCATGCAAATTATGATGCTAAATGTATGCAAATATTGAGTACATCAACACCCCCACACTTAGTCTTTGCTTGCCCTCAAGCAAACAGAAAACAAAATGGAGAGATGCCGACTTGAGCAAATTGGTCAAGCAAATGCAGAGAAGAGAAATCAAGTCAACAACCTAGTTCCAAGGTCTAAAGCGCAAGTGAAGTGCTCTACTTCAAAAATCTTAGCCACACCCTTCAATTACAATCAATGAGATCTAGCTCAACCTAAACATGCATTCAAATCCTCCACTCCTTTTAACATTCATTAAAAACATGTAACCATGGATCAAAACTCATGCAGGTCAAGGATGCTTGTTTGGCTGAGAAAAGAATGAGCAAGTATGAATAATATGCGCTCAAGTCAATCAAGATCAGGAAAAGGGGTTCTCTCAAAAGAATGTGAAAGAGCTTTGACATAATGCTAAAGGCTAGAACCAACTGATGTACAAGGACAAATGATCATCTACCCAAAGTACCTCAACCGAATCCTAAACCTCAAAAAAACAACTCAAAGCTCTATTTCTACCCTTTTCCCTTTGGTTTTTGACTTTCTTTTTCTTGCTTTCTTTCAGAGCTTTTCGCTTGGGCAGCTAAGAGGAATTTTTCCTAAGGCTTTTAACTTTACTCACAAGACTTGGTCTAGATCTTTTCTTTTCTGCCCAACCCATCTTTCTTTTACTTTTTCTTTTCTTTTTTTTTCTTTCTTCTTTTTTTTTTAGATGGGGGCTAAACTTATACAAACTAAGACCAAGCCCTTATAACCTTTTTCACTCTTGCTGCTTTTCTCTCTGCTCAAGACTTTCTTTTTCTTCCTCAAGACCCCAACCCAAAATGAATTCCCAAGCCCCATCCTAGCCTAGTCTAGTCCAAAAAGGCGTGGACTAGAGTCTACATGATCACCTATCCTTGTCGGTTCAAGACCTAACACTTTATGCCAAGCTTTCACCAAGAGGTCTCACAACACACAAGAATAACATTTGGCTTGAAGGAAAGGATTGGTCAAGGGAGGGGAGTTCTACTTGAATCAACAGAGATGGATAAACAATGTGCAAAGATGATTCAAGTATGTATAATCCACAAGCAGACTTAACCAGCATGAGCATGATAATTTAAATTCAAATTTAGGTTCTCTTGAGCAAGGAGTGGATTCAGATCAAAGCAATGCATTCGGTTTTACCAAGATGATCATGATGCTCTTTATTGGTGTGGTTCTATCTTAACTTCAAGTTCAATCACATGCGCCAAACAACTTAGAACTAGGGCATTGAATCAATTTCGCAACTCAATCAGTCTGCTCAACCAAAGAATGCTCAAATGCAAAGCTAAATGATCCTAAACTACATGCTCTGTTTTTTAGTTTTATATGCAATTTTTGAAAATTTTATATGATTTTCTATATGATGCAAATGCATGAGACTCAAGGATGCTAAAAGAAAATAAGAACACAAAACACTTCGTCAAGTACCATTGACCCTCTCCCCCACACTTAATTCACACAGTCCCTTGTGTGATAAAAAGGTAGAGAAGAGAGATCAAAGCAAAAGACAAATAAAAAGAAGAAATGTGCATGCTATTTACAATGTTGAAGTGTATACCTTTACTCGCTTGAGGAGGATGATGTGGTATCATCCAGAGAGGTTGAGAGCAAGATGGGGATCGTCTTGAGCAGTACTCTCCCCAAGTTCTTTAGAGACACTTTGTTTCCAGAGGTTTGTCTTGAGCAGGACTCTCCAGAAGTTCGTCTTGAGCAGGGCTCTCAATCTGCTCAACTTTTCCACTTAAGCTTTGATTCCAGGGAGGAGACCTGATGAGGTTCATTCATTGAAGCCTTGGATCACCAGGATCATACTCATCATAGAACCATCCCCTAAACTCTTTCATCCTTATCGCCTCAAAGGATAGCTTCATTGGGTCCTCAAGACTGACTTCATTAGGAGAGATCAGACCAGCAAATAGAAAGTATGGCTCATAAGGTGGAGGCACATAGAGATATTCTTTCTTCTCAAAAGGAGCCTCTCTCTTCTCATTGTTGACAACTCTCATCTCAGAAAATTTCTGCTCACCCCTCTCCTTTAGCTCCTCAATGTCCACATTGAGACTAGTATGTTGTATCTTGGGAGAAGTATAAGCATCATCTACTTCAAGGAAGAGGTGCTCTAATTCCAGCTCAAACTCAGGCTCAACAGTATCATAGGCGTCCTCTTGCTCTTCTTGAATAGTGTTGTCAACAGACCATTCATTGTAGCACTCCTTAGGATCCATGTCTTGTTGTGTAGGGAGTGTACCTTCTGGCCTTGAAGTAGAGGCAATGCTCTCTGTGTTCTCTTGTGGACTCACCCAAGCATCTAATTTGCTAATCAGCGGGTCCATTTGCTGATTCATCTCCAATGCATAATCATCTTGCCCTTTTAAAAGTTGTTGAAGCATACTCTTCAACTCATTGTCTTGATCAGAAGGGTCATGGCTTGAATCTTGTGTTGAGAAGCCATGGTGATGATAATCTTGAGAAGCATACTCTTGGGGACTTTCCCAAGCATCAAATATGGTGCTCATCTGGTCCAGTGGCTGATTTATCTCAAATGCACAGTCAGCTTGCCCTTGTAAAAGTTGCTGAAGCATACTCTTCAACTCATTGTCTTGAGTAAAGGGGACGTGGCTTGGACTTTGTGCTGAGAAGCCATGGTGATGATAACCTTGTGGAGCAGAAGGTGTTGGTTGATGAAAACCGTGGCTCCTACCCCATGATTCATACTCAAAATCATCACCAAGGTGGCCAGCATAAGGACTATAACCTCTTTGCATATCAAATCTTTTGTTCTTGCTTTCCTTTGCACTTGTATAGTACCTACAAGAGATTCTAGACAAGAAAGAGATTAGTAACAAACTCAGTCACACGAAGAATCAAATCTTAAAGCTCTAAACAAGACCCTAATGGCAACGGCGCCAATTTGAAAGAGAGATTTTTGTATACTCTTTACAAATGAACCCCCTTTTTAATCAATTGAAGTATAGCTTGGGGTTCTTTGTCAAATCCAGTAAGGTCAAGATAAAGACTTCAAGAATGCATGAAACATAAGTGAGCTAAGCAAATTCGAAATGGTTTTGTTTTAACAACCTAAATGAACATAAAGCATAAGATAAAAATGCAAGAGATGAAAGAAATACGAATGGAGGCACTTGGGATGAGGGTCATTGACCTTGGGAGATTCTCAAGTCAGTTTATGATGCTCAAACAGTTTAATGATTGCTAATCCTTAGGCAAAGAACTCATTAACAAGACTAATCCACTCTCATGGCACTAATCACTTTGCTAATTACCAATCTCAAGAACTAATTCTCATTAGTGAAATTGATAAAAGCAAGCATAAAGATTCAGTTCTAGAAAGCCAATAAACACCCTAGACAATCACTCTCATGAGCTAGGAATGTAAATCCTTTAGATGGTTGGTTCAAGCATTTCATCAAACACTTCTGGTGCATGAAATGCCTAAGATCTAGAATCAACTTGATCAGAGAAGATCTAGCATTAAGACCACCAAATAAAGAAGGATTAAGCAAATCAAGTCCTAAACATCAAGGTTGACCATCAAATCTCCCTAAATCTAACTCATCCCATGAGCCTAAAGAGAACTACTCAAAAGACATGAGAAATTCGAAATTAAGAGAAACAAGATGATGATTATGATAAACTAAGATAAATGAGAAAGATTCAAAGAAGTACTTTCAAAATCATTAAAATCAACCAAGATCTTACAAAAACGAAAATAAAAGAAAGGAGGCAAAGAGAGAGGTTTTTGATCAAGGAAAAGATCCAAGATGCCTAATAAAATTAGGTCTTCAGCTATTTATAGTAAAAGATAAGTGAACCCTTGGTCAACTCCGTCCCTGTTGACTTTGTCCTTTATGACGGTCTTGAGCAAACTTCTCAAGTGCTTTGTTCTTCTTGCTCAAGTCCTCTGGTCTGCGAATTTCTTGAACACTTCTGAGCTCTGATCAGCTTCTAGCTTCTCTGTCTTGCTCCAGTCACTACCCAACTCGCCTCCAGCTTGCTAAACGCCTCAAACACCTAGGAAAACACTCCAAATGCAATGGAAAATGCAAAATGCTAATTTAAAAGCTAAATGTTCCTAAGGAGATGAAACCTATACTAAATGGTATGAAATGAGACTCAAAGACATACAAAACCATGCAAATTATGATGCTAAATGTATGCAAATATTGAGTACATCAAAGTGTTTGAAGAAGCAAAAAAGTGGGAAGAAAACTAGGAAAACTTTAGAGTTGAAGCCACAATTCGATCCAATTTGAAGATAAGATGAATTTGCCTTTGACTTCTGACGTTGAATAATTTTCCATGGATTGAATAATTTTTTCTATAGGTTGAATAATTTACTTTTGCGGGTTCAATATTATATTCTTTTGCGGATTCAGTAATATTTTTTTACGGGTTCAATAATATCCTTTTACGTGTTCAATAGTATCCTTTTACGGATTAAATAGTTTTATTTTACAGGTTGAATAAGCTATATGAATTGAATAATTTAATTTTATGGATTAAATATGTTTATTTTACTCAATGATTTTTTACACATGTTAGATGATTTTTTACAGTTTGAATAATTTTTCCTACGGGTTGAATAATTTATTTTACGGGTTCAATAGTATCCTTTTATGAGTTGAATAGTTCTACAAATTGAATACTTTTCTTTTACGGGTTGAATCACTGAATGAATTTTTTGTTGTTACAGATTGAATAACTTTTTCCAAGTTTGAATAATTTTCTTTTGATAATTCAATAATATCCTTTTAGGGGTCCAATAATATCTTTATACGGGTTGAATAATATCTTTTTATGGGTTGAATAATTTTATTTTACGGGTTGAATAAGTTCTACAGATTGAATAATTTTATTTTACAGGTTAAATATGTTTATTTTACTCAATGATTTTTTTTGACATATGTTAGATAATGTTTCACAGATTGAACAATTTTTTCTGAATAATTTTTTAATTGCGGGTTCAATAATATTCATAAAAGGGTTGAATAATTATATTTTCCGGATTGAATAAGTTATACAGATTGAATAATTTTTTTGTTATGGGTTGAATATATTTATTGCACAGAATCATTTTTTTTTTTAGATTGAATATTTTTTTCACGGGATTGATAATTTTGTTTTGTAAGTTCAATAATATTCTTTTACGGGTTCAATAATATATGTTTATTTCATTGGATGATCTTTTTTTAACAAATGTTGGATAATTTTCTACAGATTGAATAAATTTTTCTACAGCTTGAATAATTTATTTTTGCGGATTCAATAATATTCTTTTGCGGATTCAGTAATATTCTATTTATATGTAGTTCTCATTAAAAAAAAAACTACTAGAGCCAAAGCCGATTAAGATTTCTTGCATATAAAGTCATTAGAAGAGAAACAAACCCTAAGTCTTAAAAGCTCTGATCTAGGGTTTGTAAAACACGCCATGAAACGTTTGAAGCAGCAGCTCTACGCAGATCCTATACCAGTTGATCTACTTATCGAGATATTCTCTCGACTCCCTAGAAAGTCTATAGATAGGTTTCGTTGCGTATCAAAATTCTGGGGATGCATACTCCGTCGTCCTGATTTCACCGAGTTGTTTTTGACCAAGTCTTCCACTCGTCCAAGGCTCTTTTTCACCGTGAAAGCTGATGGCAAGTTGTTCTTCTACTCATCACCACAACCTCAAAATCCAAATGATAGCTCTACTCTTTTAGCCACACGTTATCATGCGTCATTCCCCGAATATTTTCCATCTGATACGTGTTCTACGGTCTATGGATTGGCCCTTCTTCAGCATTATAACGGGAAGCTGCGAGTGATTTGTAACCCTATCACGGGAGAGTTCCTAACCTTACCCAAACTGCTTCTGAAAAACAAAAACGAAGTGAAAGCTAAAGGGAAGAGTAATCACACCACGAGAGAAAGGATTGCAATAATCTCTCTTGGCTACGATCCGATCAACAAACAGTTCAAGGTGTTGTGTATGACCTCGTCACTCGATGAAAGACCCAACACTTATCAAGTTTTGACATTGGAGTCTGGAAAACGTTTGTGGAGAAAGATGGAATGCAAATTCCATTTTTCTTTTATGAGGAATAGTAGAGTTGGTAATGAAATATGCATAAATGGTGTTTTGTATCTCGGAGCTACGATTGGAAAATCTTCGGTGATAGTTTGCTTTGACGTCAGGTCTGAGGAGTTTGGCTTTATTAACTTGGATAAGGGCATGTCAGGACAGTATTCTGATTCTTATGTTTGTGGTCACTTGACTTTGTTCAACTACAAAGGTAAATTAGGTATACGTGACAACACAGGAAGGGATGAAGAACTTGTGTTGTGGGTTATAGAAGATGCTCAAAGTCATAAATGGTTTAAGCAGACCTACAAATTGCCTCGTTTAGCTCACTTCAGGGATTTTCACTTTGTTGGAATGACTGGTACAGGTGAAATCGTGTGGTCGTCGTACAATATTATTTCCAGCGTTTACTTGTACAATCTCGAGAGGAAAACGTTTACAAGAGTTAATATTCAGGGATTTGAAGAGCTTGAGGAGCGTCATACTATTCACACCTTTGTCGACTATGTGGAGAATCTCAAGTTGATGTAATTAAGTGTGTTCAATGGTTTCTAATAGAATCCAAACTCACTTAACCAAGTTTCCACGCAATACATAATACCACAAATGTGTCATGTCTTTAAGAGCAACTTTGGTAACTCTACCATCTTGTTAAGCGACCTTGAGCTTAACATTATCATGGATTCGGTTAATTTATTTGTTATGTAGACTCTCTTTCATCTTTGACACCATTTACTTCACCTTAACCTATTTGTTATGTAGACTCTCTTTCGTCACGAGCAAGCTTACAAATCTTTTTTTGGGCCAGAGATTCCTTGGCTTTGAAGTTAAAAGACTGCGAAAAATGAGATGATCTCTTTAGAGTGAAATAAACATCATCTTGATCTCCACTTCAACCTAACTGAATATATTTCTCTGCCACTAATTATGCGTGAGTCCGCTGGCTCTTTCATCTGCTGATGAACATATGTTCTTCTGACATATCACCCTGAATTCTGACAAGACAGACAAATCACTAGCTCAACAGCCCAACCTTAAGCAAAAGCTTATTCTTTCTGAAGAACAGTAGCTTTTAGCTTAAGAAACCTTCTTTTTCACTTCAAATTTGAAACATGATCCTGCCTGAACCGGACAGACACTCCATTGGTTCTCTGATCTCATAAAGAGATATCCCTCTTCCTTGGCTCTCTGACCTGAGCCATAAAAATCAGAAATCATTTTAAAGCCAAGCTTAGGATCTCCCAAAGAACTGATCATCACACGAGTGAGTCGCTCAGATCATTTTGATAGTCTCATTCTTATCGTGGAGACATTCTTTTCAGTCAACACTTCCTTTAACCTATGGTGATATTGAGATATTTGAAGTTCTCATTGTTCCCACACAGTCCTTGAATTGAAGACAATCTCATCATGAGTTTTTTAAACTACTTTTCAGGCTATCAACTTCATTTATTGCATCTTCAAGCATCATCACATACTTCTCTCATTTGCCTCTTTCCTAGCCTATTCCAGACTTTCAATCTGGTTTCCACAATGTTCAGGCTCCGCTTGACGTGTCAAAACTCAAAAGTTTCTCCTTAGCTTCCAAAGATATGCTTCCTGCAAATCCAAAGTTAAAATTTCTAAAGCTTTATTGCTTTTCTCTTTTTTCTTCTTACAGCTCTCCGACTCTGTAGCAAGTTTTGTCTTTTCATTCAGTAGGGTTCTCAATATGTGATCTTGTATTCTTTTCCTTGTGCAAAGCCTTAACTTTTTCTTCTTGGGCGGTTCCAAGGTCGGATTTTCTTCTTGTGCATGACTTTTCATCCTCTACTTGCTTCATAGCTGAATCTAAAGATTCTAAAGCACATGTCTTCAACTTGCATTCGATTCTTCAAATTGTCTAACTTCTTCCAGTAACCTGCTTAGCTATTGGCGAGGACTCAACAACTTTGAGACTCGACATGGAGATGTTCAATGGACACTTCTTGTTCCTTCAGCGTAATCTCAAGGATCTTAACTTTCTCAAGTTTCCCTCTCAACATGTCCATTTAAGATATTAGTTTGGACTTTAGCCACAACCTCAACGCCTTCAGTAGCTTCCTTTTGTTCCTCTGAGACAACCAATGACTTAAATTATGCAGAGGCTTGAATATTCTCCTATTTGACAACTCTTGTAGCTTAAGCAATTTTCTTGATTAAAAGTCTTTGACCCTTTATCAAGCCAAGGAACTAACCTGTGGCTAATTGTGGTTCTGAGGCTAATATCTAAGCCAAGGAACTAACCTGTCTGCAAAAAGGCTAACAATTGTATGTGATCAATGCATCCACATAAGCAAAGAAAAGTGATTAGATGTTTCTCTTGTAGCAAACACGAAGACAAGGATCTCCAAGCATTTCCTGTCTGTTCAAAGGAAAATGTCATTAGGCAAGCAATTCAGTTTTCTGTCATGACATGAATCTGTCATGCTTGGTCTTCAAGTCAAAAGTAACTGAATCTGTCATGACACTTCTACATATGCACTGAACAGTTAGTTATAAGGCCTAGAGATGGCTTTAAAAAATGTGAGATAAAACCACATAAAAGCTTTTACCTGTGATCTTACCGAAGCTGAAGCAGGTCACAGTTGCTCAAGAAAGATGGACACCTGTCTATCTGGAAGCGAAGCCTTTGAAGAAAACTCTGCAAAGAAAAAGCAAAAAGAGATCCCACAAGTAAGAAATCTTAATCATAAATTTAGACAGCCGAAAATGTAATAAAAGGTTATTTTCGTTTTGGTCAAAGTGTTGTCACTCCAGTTTCTCTTGTGGAAAGAAGATTTTTCTACTCTCTACCATCTTCTTCGTAAGAGTCTTGAACTCAACGTTATCTGCAACTCGGTTTCTTCGTCATGTAGACTGACTGTCTTTCAACTTTGACTAGTCCTCTATCTTCTTTGCCGCTGAAGCTTCCTGCACATTAAGCTCTTGAAACTCGTCTATCTTCTGAACCAATGGGGCAGATTTTTCCTGAGGCTCCTCGTTTTCATCGGAAAAACACCCTCCAACTTCTTCTCTTTATAGAGTTATCCATGTTTAAAGGGTTTGTCATTCCTTCAATCCTTTGAACCAATGAGGCAGAAGTTTCATTCTTCAACTCATTCGCTTTTTCCGACAAACTTTGTTCTTTTCTTAGGAGATGAATGGAGCTTCTTTGGATTTGAGCTCCTCATTTTCGCAAACAACACCCTTTGTAACAACTCACTCTCTTCAATCTTCTTTTGGGCTATAGATTCCATCAAAGCTCATTTTCTTGCAGCTTTGCTAAATTAGCATGGCTTTCTTTAAGTTTCATGCTCTCAGCCTCTTTCCCTGCATATTCTTGATGGTTTCTTGTGTCATCTTTCAATTTTTTATTAGTGGCGTCCACTGAAATTTCTTGTACTTGTAACTTCAATCGATAGTCTCTTTCCTTTGAAGATTCTACAGCTTTTCCGGGAGTAAGTAACTTTTCCGTTTCAACTGGTTTCTCAAGTGTGTGTGTGTGGAAAGAAGCTTTTTCTAGCAACTTTGATGACAACTCTTCCATCTTCTTACAAGTGGAAGCCTCCCTGGCCTTGGTTTATTTGTCAAGTTTCATCTTTGACAAGTTCTTTATATTCTTTGTCGCTGAAGCTTCCTGCACCTTAAAGCTCCTGATTTTCTTGGTTTACTCTTTAAAATGCATTTTCCTTATCAAGCCAACTTTGGCCTTGAGCTTCTCATTTTCGACAATGGCTGTCAAATTTTGTTTAGGATCGGAGAACTCCTCTGTTGTCTTAAGTGAGTGATTAAGCCTCTTTGGATTTGAGCTTTCTAACCCTGTAACTCACTCTCAAACTTTTATTCATAGTTCTTTTTGCATTTGAGCTCCTCAAGACTCATCCTGTTTGCTTTTAGGTCCTCAGTTTTATGTTTTTTCAACAAGACTTTCTTGCAGGTTCGTTAACTCTTTAGTTTTCTGGAGTTTGGTTTCTCTAGCTATCAGCAAAGATTTCATTTGCCTTTGACAAGTCATCAATCTTCTTTTGTTAAGAAGACTCCCTTTCTCAACGGTCTGCAGTTTGACAACTCCTCGAGCTCTGCAATTTGGTTTCTTTGTCGCACCAATCTCTCATTCACTTCTGACAACTCTTCAATCTTCTTCAGACAAACATGCTCCGCAGCTTCTTCAAAAATTCTCAACAGTTTGGTTTCTTTGTCGCACCAAGCTCTCGTTTTTCCTCTGACATTTCTTCTATCTTCTTGAGATAATCAACCTCCCTCCCTCTTAGCTCATCTGCTTCTTCAATAATTCTCTTAAGTTTTGTTTCTTTATCCACCAAACTATCATCCACCTTTGACAACTCTACTTCCATTTCTCTGAGTTTTCTGTTTTCTGCAGTAGCCTTCTTTAGATCGTGTTTCTTCTACAGCAAAGCTTTCTTTAAGTTTCATGCTTTCAGATGTGGCTTCTCCACCACTTTCCCTGCATATCCTTAATCTCCTCCTCATCTGCTTTAAGATTCTTTTTAGTTTCCTCAAGATTAAGCAAGTTCTACACTTTGCTAACTTCTTCTTGTTCCCACTCAATCTTCGGATTGCCAAACTCATTCTTAGTGTTTCTAAACCACTTTTCAGGCTATCAATTCGTTTCTTGCATCTCTACATACTTCTCTCAATTGTCTCTTTCGTAGCCAAATTCAATCTGGTTTCCACAATGTCAAAGGCTTGTCCTTAGATTCCATTGATACTTCCTGCATTTCCAAAGCTTTCCATAGCCTTCTTTAGCTACTCTTCCTTGTACAGCAAGCTTTCTTTAAGTTTCATGCTTTCAGATTTCGCTTCTCCACCTCTTTCCCTGCAGATCCTGAATCTCCTCCTCAACTGCTTTAAGATTCTTTTTAGTATTGGATGTCAATTTTCTCAAGTTCTACACTTTTCTAACTTCTCCTTGTTCCCACTCAATCTTCGTATTGCCAATCTCATTCTGAGTGTTTTCTAAACCACTTTTCAGGCTATCAATTCGTTTCTTGCATCCTTACATACTTCTCTCAATTGTCTCTTTCGTAGCCAATTCAGCATCGTTTCCACAATGTCAAAGAGGCTTGTCCTTAGATTCCATTGATACTTCCTGCATTTCCAAAGCTTTTTTGCTTTATTTTCTCTTCTTCCTTCTTACAGTTCTCCAACTCTTACCAAGTTTTGTCTTTTCGATGTTGCAGCCTTTCCATCTTGCAAAGCCTTAATCTTTTCTTCTTGGGCGGTTCCAAGGTCAGATTTGATTGACTCAACAAGCTTTTCAAGCTCAAAAGGCTTTTGAGATTATATCCTGTCAAGGATACGTAATATCATGAGTTTAATACCTCAATATTCCCTTTCTGTAATTAGACTCTTCTAGAGTATTCTCTCAATCTTGTATATATACATTGTATGTGATGTGAATAATAATCAAGAAAGCATTCTCTCTTACATATCCAACTCTGCCTCATGAAGCTCATGACTTTTTATCCTCCAGCTGCTTCATAGCTGAATCTAAAGATTCCGAACCTGCTTCAGATCTTAACTTTCTCAAGATTCCTTCTCTCAACATCTCGATTATGATTTTAGTTTAGACTTTAGCCACAACCTCTTGCCTTGAATAGCTTTCTTTTGTTCCTCTTAACCAACCAATGACTTGAATTATGCAGAGGCTTGAATATTCTCAGCCTGAATTTGAGCAATCTTAATCGCTTTCTCAGTATGACTAGGCTCATAGCCACTTCTTGTTCAATCCTATGGAGCTTCTTCCAAAAGATTTTCCTTTTTTGATTCCAACGCCTGTTCTAATTCAACCACTACGAATTTCTCAGATCTCGCAAGTAATGTATCTGTGAGTTTTCTCATTATTTGGCTTTTTCAGTTTCTCTTGAGCACTGCTTTTTGCTCGTTAGCTTCCCTCAAATCCTCTTGAATCTGAATCAGTTGAGCCTGAAGCTCAAATCCCTTCCCCAGCCGGTGATTGAGATTTGTGAAATAGATTCAAGTTCGATGCAACAACATACGATCCATCGACTCAGATTCTTGAATTATGCAGAGGATTGAATTTCCAATTCTTGTGGGATCTCTCTGCAAAATCATGAATTTCTTATTTCCTGGGACAAGCAGATCACAGAAAGAATCTTTTCAAAGAACAATTTTTCTCCTCTAAGATGCAGAATATTGAACATCTCTTGTCTCAAACCCAACAAGACAAAGACTTAAGCAGACAATTGAATCACCACCCATTCCAACATCATTAGACAAGCTTTCCTCCCTCAAGAATATTTACCCTCTCAATCAATACATGAAGCATTGATTTTAGCAGAAATATTGAATTCTCCAATCGGACTATCTTTAAACGAAGCAACTTTACTCCATGATGCAGAGATATTGAATATCATGGAATCTCCCATTCGGACATTAGACTTGGAGCAGACAATTGAATCACCCAAGCCAACCTCATAAGACAAGCTTTCCTCCCTCAAGAACACTCCGAACCAATACGCAAAGCATTGGATTAAGCAGAATATTGAATTATCTTTTATAGAAGCAATTTTACTCCATTGAGCTTCTCATCTTTCATTCTTCATCTCATTCTCTTTTTCAACCAAAAAGGATCGTTTTAAGATGAGACAATACCTCTATTGTCTTAAGAGATGAAGGCTCTTTGGATTTGATCTCTTCACTCTCTTTTGCACGGGCAAGCTTTTCTTTAGATTTGATATCTCTTCTTTCAATCTTCTTCTGGGTTAGAGATTCATTGGCCTCACGCTTCTCAGATTTCGCTTCTCCACCTCAATTTCTTTGATATTCTTTCTAGTATTGGATTCTTCTTCTTCTTCCTCTTTAGGTTCTGTTGGTTCTTGATCCTGCAAAATTGCGAATAATCACAAGATTAAACATCATTTATCTAAAAATTCCTGCTTGTAATGGTTAAATTGCATATTTATTTTTATTTTGCAATCGAGAAGTTTGCAATCCCTAATTTCGCTCTTAACAATAGAAATCAGTAAACCCTAACAATCCACATATCTGATTACAAAAACCAAAACCAAAAAGAGAGCAAAGACACTTACGAGAAAGAGCACATCGTAAAGCCGATTCGAACCAGAGTTCCACTCGGCGAGCCTCATCTTCCGTCTCTCCCTCCGTTCATGAAATCAATCAAACCATCTCCTGGCGGAGAAATCATACGCCTTTTCAATCATCGCCGTCACAGCACTACCGGCTGATTCCTCCGCCGGAGCCGTTATTGCTTCCACGCTCGATCACAAAACCGACTCAAGTCAGAGAAAATAGGGGAGAGAGAGAGAGAGAGCGCGCGAGAGAGGCAGAGAAGAATGAAGAGAATCTGGGTGGAGTTGATCGGAATTAAAAGGAGTAGAAAGATACACAACGGTCACAGATATTTTGAATGTGGAGGAGCGTCTTAATTTACTTAACGAGAACGGCCTAATTTTTTCTAGCCAATGTTCTTCTTCATCCTCGAAACTGTGTCGTTTCAGAGTTTCACTTATTTTGATGCTGCTCAGCTTGACTCCTATGATCCTAACCGAACTCTTTCTTTTTAATCCGAGATTAATAACACACATGACCAATTTGTCTGTTTCATAAAATCTTTGATTGCAAGACAAGTCCCAAAACCAATAAAATCTTTGGTTTAAGCAGCTAGTTCTGTATAGTTCACTTTTACCACCATAAAACCCAATTTTACCATCTCTGCCAAACTCTTCTTCACAAAATTCCGTTACTCTCTTGTCAAACCAGTGAAAACATTAGCTTCCGTTACAGAAAAAAGTGAATTTTTAACTTGGATCAAAGAATATTTAGAGGTCAAGAAATCTCACATGGTCAAGATGTGGTTTGCACTAAATTCTTGGCTATATGATAGAGTTTGACTTAGATCCTTGATTCCTTGTTAACAAAAAATCATGTAAATCAGAAGCAAACTCTACACCTGCTGGTCCACCATCTTTTTTTGCATCCAAGTCTTTGTAGACTCTCACGTTTTCATTGTAATTGTAGCTATAAAGGTTTCTTGTCTCTCACGTTTTTCATGGTAATTTTAGCTATAAAGGTTTCTTGTCTCTCACGATTTTCATTGTAATTCTCGTGTGGAAATAAGATTTTTTTTTCGAGCAACTTTGATAACTCTCTACGATCTTATTAAGCGCTTGATGAGCGTAACATTATCATGAACTCGGTTTCTTTGTCACGTAGAATCTTTCATCTTTGCTGCTGAAGCTTCTTGCACCTTAAGCAAGCAAGCTCTTGCTATTCTTGATTAATTCTTTCACTTCATTTCCAAAGTTGGCTATGCTTGAGATGTACGTAACCAACTACATAGCTTCCTCAAAGATGATGATTCCTTGGCCGTAAGCTCCTCGTTCTCTTTACCAAGTTAACTCTGTTTCTTAAGTTTTGTCAGCTTCGATAAGTCTACCATCTTCTTAAGCGCGGAGCCCTCAAGATCAACATTACCATGAGCTACAAAGACTACAACTCGGTTTCTTTGTCATCTTTGACAACTCATGTAGCCTTAGCTCTTGGTTAATTTATTGAAAAACGTAACACTTAGCTTTGCTCGTGATGTAACCAACTCATCTATCTTCTTCAAAGAGGATGCTTCCTTGTACTTAAACACCCTGCAACCCTTTATCTTTATCTTTATCAAGTTCACTCTGTTTAAGGTTTGCCAACTCTCCAATCTTTTGAACTCTTATCTTTGCAATTTGCATTTTTCAGCTTAATTATTATCTTTTATCAAATCGCAGCAGACTTTCTTGCAGCTTCCCTAACTTAGCATGGCTTTCTTTAAGTTTCATGCTCTCAGCATTCGCCTCTCCACCTCTTTCTGGCAGAGACTTAACATCTCGATTTCAGGTTTTAGTTTAGACTTTAAGACACAATCTCATCGCCTTCAATAGTTTCTCATTGGCTTTTTGTTCTGTCTCTCAGATCCTTCAATAGTTTTAGCTTTATCTATCTTGAGCACTGCTATTTGCTCGTTAGCATTCCTCAAATCATCATGAATCTGATTCAGCTTGACTAGGACTGGAGTTACTTTACATTTATTTTCTTAAGTTATAATCCTCAAATTTTGGTTATATACTTGCCAAACCAGTGTACTCACATTCCAACAAATCAAAGATGGTCAATCTAATCGTTTGATAATCAACATAGGAGGCAAGAGGAGTTGGAAAATAGATGTTACAAAGAAAAATGTGACCAAATCACAAAGTTGATAACCATATTTGTTCAATGGAATTTATCCAAAACAAAAAAAACAAGTAATATTAAAACACACCTACAATGAGACAGTGGTTTCAACGTGGTTTGCAAAATAATAAGCCAAGAAATGACCATATGACCCGGTGGAGGGAGTTTCAAATTCGACTTTCCTAATAGTCTTTTTCTCTAAGTTAAGATGCCAAGTATAACCTGGTACTTGTATAGTAGGCGATACGAAAACAATTTCACCGTCACAAATGCCCAACACGGAGCTAGAGATTGGGCGGTAGTGGCTTTTGTATTCTTGAGCCCAAGGTAAATGAAAAACCATCAACGACCATTCCTTGTTTTCCATAAGACAAGAAAACTCAACTTCGCAGCCCTTGACACGAGAAATAAACCCTAACTTCCCTTGAAAGTCTATGAGCTTTGAAAACCATGAAAGATGAGGACTGGTTTCAATAAGACTGAACTTTTCGGAGTTTAGGTCAAAACTCACCAGACTTACCACGCATGTGAGATGATCAAGCAGACCATAACCTGCTCTTCTTGAGTAAGCTTTAAAGTATAAAACACCGTTTATGCATATACCACTTTCTCCACACACGTGATTACACGTGACAGGATTAAGATGATTAGGTATGCCTGGTATCTTTCTCCACAAGTCACCATCTTGTCCCACAGTAAAAACCCAAAACTGATTCTGGCTTGGGCCTCCCAATCCGGACATACACAGTACTTTGAACTGATCAAAGATTGGATCGTATCCAAAAATAAGAAACTCGATCAAGTCATCGTGTTTCCCCAAGATTTTGTTCTCGGGTAAGCTTAGGTGCTGTCTCGTGGAAGGGTTGCATATAACATGTTGATTAGGTCTGATTGTGTAGATGATCCAACCACGAACGGGAGGAGATCTGAGAGACACACCAACTCCTCCACGGACTGTCATCTCATGTCGGGTCGGGGCTATAGAAGAAGGCCATCCATGTGGCGCTGAGAAGAAAAGAAGCTTTTTATCTTTATGACAATGAAAGCAAAACAACAGACGTGGGCGATTAGAGGGACAAGACAAGCATAAGTTCACAAAGTATCGACTTTGGATGATCCCTGAAAACTCTTTCGATAAGCACTTTAATCTCAAAAGGGCCCTCACGGGCAACCTTGAGAGTATCTCAATCACGAGATCCACATGGATCGAGATATTGTGGTCTTCTTTCTTCTTCTTGCCCATCTTCTAAACCCTAAACCGGCTTTTTAGGACAAAGTTATTGCCAAGTTGATATGATATTTTTTTGGTCCTATTTGCACATTCTGCAACCCTTAATAATAAGAAAGGCAGGTATTCGGGGTATTCTAAGCCTACTCACAATATATTTAGTATTCTGTTATGAGATAAGCTTCGAATCTTTAGGTTCCAAACAATCGGATTCGACATATCTTGTTATCTTATATATAATAGGAGAAGACTCTCTTCTCCTAGGCCATCCACGTAGACAGGCAGAATCACTTTCTTTAGTGGACCCCACCTCGAAATAATTTATCTAAATAACTAAATTTATCATTTGTCATCACACACATTTAAATGGACTCTAACAAATCTCAAACTTCATAGCCCAAAGCCCATTCAAAAATACACATTTACACTCCAGCGCAAATCATATTTTCCCTCACGCTTCTCTCCCACCTCCATCCCTTCCTCGCCGCTTCCAATTCCGAATTGCAGGAGCCTACCTCCGTTTCGGCAAAAAAATGGCACTCTGTTCACCCCCTCGCCTCCAATTATTACCCCATTCAAACTCCTATTCAATACCTCAGATCCAAACGGCTTCTACCACAACCATTCAACTTACTCACAAAACACCTATAAATACTCTGCTCACCACCGCAACATCACATCACATCTCCAGCAACCGAAACTTACAAACACCACTCTCTTACTCTCCAAGATGTCTTCACAATCCCGTCCGCCGTCAATTATGTCACCTTCGACAACCTCAACCTTGGCCGATCATCGATGCTAAGAATGTCAAAAAGGATGGTGAATTCATGTAGTGCTCCTAATGCTCGACGAAAAGGTAATATTTCAGGATTCGTAACACTGTTTTTCTTTTTCCCCAGAAATTTAACGAAATCAAACCTCAGAGTCACAACTTCTCTCTCCATCTGTAATTTTTTCTCCCTTGGTTTCCTACAACAGTCACTCAAACTTCACACTATCAAGTTGTTTTCATTTACGCCATCTACCTTTTTAGTCAATGGTTTCACAGCACGTCGCCCATATATTTCATGCTTTGGTCACCCACTTTTTCTCTATATGTTTCCACAGTTTACCATACTCATTCTCTGCTTTTTGCCTCACCACTAACTTCTTTTTACATTTACCTCTGCAGAATTCGGTTCGCCATGGGTTCATTCCAGCAAAACGGGCCAACAACTACCATCACCTGTTACATGAGGGTTTCATATTCAATCTGAGCGGGTTTGAAATTGCAAGGTTTCATGATAATCATATTAAATTGATTCAGGATTTGAAAGGTCACTAAATCTGTTAGGGTCTTCATGAATCGTATAGTATAGGGAGCGTTGTACGTTCTTTAAAAAATATTTGATAGGTGACCGAATTAATCACCAGAAATTAATATGTTTTATTCTATGGGAGTCAAAAAATAATTAAAATTTAAAAGAAAATGGGTTATATGCAATTGATTGTTTCTGATTGTTACATGAAAAGAGGATCGTAAATACATTGGAACAATTAGGTAGACGTGAAGATTGTTTCTCTGCGAATCATCACGCATATCTAATATTCTCCTCTACGTGGGCCTCTGGGATAGAACATTATGACCCCCGCGCTTGCGCGGGGCAGCCGATTCCTAGTTTTATTAATTAATGTTTTTTTAGCCGAATATAAAATTTATTACACCCAAAAAAAAAAAAAAAAAAAAAAGTCTTTTGTTACATCAAGTGCTTATTAAGTTTGAAAGAGATTGAAAGAAAAACATTGTTTCAATTACACTTTCAACTTTTCAAGGAATCAAGCCCATCTATAATACATTATAGGAGCTGCCTGGGATCTCTTGGGCACTCGAAGTCGGCTATTTTTTGCTTCTCTCCAAGCTGCCACGTCATCACCTTCATTTGGACTTATTTACAACTTGGCCCATTATTTGCATCGGCCATCGGCCCATGGAGAAACCAATTATTTGCACGCTTTTAGAGAATCGGCCCATCTGTTTACTCTTCAGACTTCTCAACTTCTCTCTCTCCCCCGACATTGAACGGCCACCGGAATCGATTGACATTACACCGTGAAACGGCTTCTTCTTCAATGCCCGGATATCAATGGTTGTTAATGGCACCGCCAATATGGCACTATAAAACCAGCAATATGCGATCCCCAGAGAACATCCACCCTCTTCCACATCAGAGCAAATCGAGAAGTTACCATGGCATCCAATGCTCCCTCCGGCGCTGTCGGCATACCAACATCCAATGCTCCCTCCGCCGCTGTTGCCCCACCAACTTTCAAGATTCTCGACCAAATTGACGGTCAATTTGGCAACGCCCCTGTATTGATCACGCTCGACAGTTCCGATTTTTGGTTCATCACCATCATTCTCCTAATCGAAGGTGCTCGAATCTTCAGCAGAAGCCACGAGCTTGAATGGCAGCACCAAGCCGTGTCGGACTCAGCAGCTTTCGCGCTCTCCGATCAAGCTCCGCTTCACTTCTCATAAATCTAAAACAAATCAGGTTTTTTGCAATTTTGCGTAATCGAACTGAAATCAATTTGAATTCGAATTACATTTGATGAATGATCGTTTGCGTTTTCTCTGCAGTGCATCGATCTTCATGCCGATTCTAGGCAACCGATCCAGGGAAGCGACGACAACAAGAGACTGCGTCGCTCGAGAATCGACGTTCGACGAAACGTGGAACAACTCAACTCAGACGTACCTCTCCTTCCATACGCGAGATCGTTCTTCATCTCCTCCACAGTGAGTCGATGCTGTTTCTTGCTGAGAAAGCTTATTGGGAGTGGCAAGTCAGTGTTTGTAATCTGCTTGAGAATGTGACGAGAGAGTGTGAGTTTGGGATTACTGGTCTGGTCTCCATCAAGAGGTTTTTCTATGATTCATACTCAAAATGTGTCAATAGGAGTATCTTTGATTGTTTGAAGATGGATATAGTGAGCTTTGGTATTGAGCTTTTGGGATCAAACTCTTCTGATGAACAGCTCATTGGAGCGAGGATTCTCAGGCAGTTCTCAGTGAATTAACGTTATTCTGAGAATAAGCTTGAGAAGATCGGAATCAATTCTTTCCGGTTGTTGAAAGGTTTGGCCTTTACAGATCAAAACAATGAAATATCAGTATTGAGATTGTTGCAAACTTTTTCTTTGTCATTAGGTTGGTGGAGATGTTGAATTGGAAAGATCTGCAAGAGGAAGAGAGATAAGAAGATCAGCGGCCGAGATACTATCGAAACTCGCCGGGAGAAAGCAGAACTCTTTAAGAGTCAACGTGTGAATGTTAGTTAATGTTAATCTTTTGAAAATAGGACCGTAACGGTGGCTGAGAGAGCATAATGATCGGTGAGGGTTGTGGCCTAGCTGGTGGAGGTTTCCGATCAACGGAAGTCTCGGTGGTGACGGTGGAGTGTTTCCTTTCTTCCGTGTCGTCTGTTTATGGAAGTAGAGGATGGTAAAGAAGATAACAGGCATAAGAGAAGTATCATGATCATCATTTTTGCATATCTTGATTCTTTAAAAAAAATTCTGGTGAAGAGTTTGCTTAAGATTTTAGTTATCTTCTTTTTTGAACTTATGTACACACAGAAGCCAAGTTCATCTTCTCTTGGATATATGTCCTTTTTTCTTTTAGTTTTTGGTTGGTTCTTCGACAAAATTTTCAAGCTAAAGTTTGTCAACACTAACAATTAGGCGCATCTGCAAGAGGAAGAGATAAGGAGATCAGCGGCTGAGATACTATCGAAACTCGCCGGGAAAAAGCAATTCAATTATAAAATATACTATAATATAATTGTTTTGATTCAACATATATGGCATAGGTGAAAGCTGGAAAGTGTGGCAGCGATGATATAAAAGCAGTTGAGGTTCTTTTCAATCCTTCTTGCTTAGTCTTCGAAAATTAAGCAACTGTGGTTTCATGGCTGAAGATGATAACCGCAGTTGGAATATATAATGGTCTTGAACTCTAAATGTATATCCATATACTTTCATCATTTCTGTAAATGTTGAATTAACAAGTATTTCTGAAGTTTTTTTGGGTTAAAATGTTGAAACTTAGAACCATTTTCTCAGTTTAATATGATGTTACACGACTTATTTGGCCATAATGACTAGGCAAGAGAACCCACATTTGAAAAAGAGATGTGTGATTTGCCATAACTCCACAAAACAATATATTTGCCATAACTACGAAAATTGTATTAAATAAAGATCTAAGTAGGTTTTACTTTCTATAATTTTAAAATCGTCTTATGATATGCAGTTTATATATAAGCACACATTATCCTCCAAATATAAATCATATAACAACCTAGACCTAATAAATATCAATGAAATAATACGCCCGGGTAAGCCCTCTAGTAAAGTAAGTGGAAGTTGAAAGCCTATATCCAAAAGAGCGGAGATTTGATTTTGTATGCAAACTTTAGAGATAAAACCATTCTTGCAATGTCCATCAGACAGTAGAATCACTGAAATCGCAACAACAAATACTTGAATCTCATGTAATCAAACATGAATTTGATCTAATCCACCAAATCTAAGGACCAGATCTCACAATTTCAAAAGGAATTTGTTAATATAAGGACCATGACTCACAGTATTCTTTGGTTCAATGTCCTCCACTTTCTTCATTCGTTTAGAGAAGTATCTTATACAAGGAGTGACACAGGATCTCGAGTTAAACCCAGGCCCGAATCAATTGAGAAATAAGGATAATCCCATTCCCATACACTAAATAAAAAAGACTCGATTTTTCACGAACTCATCAGAGCACAGCCAAAACCCAAAACGCCACTGAAAGAGAGTAGAAAAACAGAGATGCCCGTCCAAACTTGAACCACTATTCTAAATCTCCTGGAGCGTAAAGCAGCAAGCTTTAGGTTTAGTGCCGAGTTTTAGAAGTTGATCGGAAAAACAGAGACAGAGACAAATCGGAGTTAGATTCGAACAGGAAAAGAAATGCTCGCTAAGCTCCGGAGTATTAAGCTTGTGTCCTTCACCTTACGTAAAAGAATCTTCTAACGGAGATTTCTAGTAACCATTAACCAATAATGCTTCTCTAACGCGGATGAGTCGTCGCTGGTTGTTTCCCGCTGATCAAAGACAAGCATTCTTCAAATTCGGACCCTTTGCTGTCGGTTTGGATCGAGTGCCACAACATCATATCTCTTTTTCCGAGAGCAGTCCTTGGTACGGAGAAGGAGAAGGAGAAGAGCATCAGTTTAGTCGGGAAGAAATATGGTGGAGAAGAAGAAGAAGAATAAAGAAATAGGAGAAATAGCTGATGTGGTAAGTAAAAGTCTAAAAATAATCTGAGCTGTCTCATTTAAAATTTTCTGATTGGCTATAACGTTTAATGACGTGTCAAAAAGCTGATGTGTCAAGTCCGGAGGTTTAAAACACAAAACGATGTCGTACAGTCAAACAGCCTCCTGCTTCTGATGTAAACAGCTTTCTCGTTGACTTGTTGACTGTTCATGTCGAAGAAAAGAACTAATATTTTAAATTTAAATGTATTTCTTGAATTCCGTTATCGATTTCAGTTACTCCTATTAGCCGCCTAACTCCTGTTTATCTATAAAATCGCTACTCCGATTTCAGTTACTCCTATTTCTTGTTACTCATTACTTTTCGAATTATCTCTTCTCTCAAGTAACAAGAAAGAAGAAAGAAGATGGATCAAGCGACCTCTCTCTACGTTTGGGATCTTCATGCGTCGGTTAACGAGGCGGAGCTACGTCAAGTTTTCCAGCTTGGGTTATCAGCAGAGTCTCTCATCTCCGTTGAAGCATACAGAGATCATAGAAATCTTTCTCTGGGAAGAGCGAAGGCTACTTTCGGAAACCGTGAAGATGGTGAGTGGATTGTGTTTCTCTGTTTCTTTCTCGGAAACAGAGCATTCTGTTTCTACTTCTCTTCACTTTCTCATTTTTCTGCATTGTTGCAGCTATGATGGCGATGAGTATTATCAGCTCTGTACCCTTAATCGGCGACTCGTTTGCTCATGCGTCGGTTGATTCCTTCCCACAGGTAGTTTTCTTGTTTGTTACATGCTTTGCGTTCTTGCTCTGTTTCTTTTTCTTTCTCAGTGTTTTTGACTTTTTGTTTTTCTTTAACAATTTTCTAGTTGACCAATGAGTCGGGAGGCCATGATGTCTACGTTGGAAACCTCTCTCCTTCTACCACAGTTGCAACGCTCCACGCTGAGTTTGGCCAGTACGGTTTCGTAGTTGATGCGAGGATTACCAGAAAGGAAGATTTCTCTTATGCGTTCGTGAAGTACCAGAATCCAGAGAATCGTTTCCGAGCAATCGCTTATTTAAATGGCAAATCAGTTCATGGAAGTCTTTGGATAGTCAGCGAAGTATACCAAAAGAAGAAAGAGGTGCGTGACGTGGAAATCCGAGGAGCGGTAGAGGAAGGACGTGTCCTATATGCAAGCAATCTGCACTATAAGATGACGGAGCGTGACTTGGGCAATGCGTTTCGTCAATTTGGTGTTGTCATCAGCTGTCACCTCCGAAAGCTCCAAGATGGACGAAGCAAAGGATCTGGTTTTATTGAGTATTCCACGAAAGAGGCAGCTTCTGCGGCCATTAGTGCCATGCACGGAACTCTGGTGTGGGGCAGAGCCATCAATGTGAGTCTAGCCCTAACCAGTTCATGATTCTACAAAGAGAGTAACATATTCGATAGTATTGCATAATGAGAGTTTGATGGGATAGGCTATAAGCGAGTTTGATGTGATAGGCTATAAGCATATCATTATAGCATATTTGGTCGTATTCTGTATATAAACCATTATGCTTTTTGTATATAAATAATGCTACTTCTGACTTCTGAGAGAAAAAAACTTCAGATGATTAGATCCTTTTGCTTTTACCAAGTCGTTCTCAGATGATTAGTAAGTGTCGTTGGTACCATAAATTTCACAATTTCAATAATGTATAGACACAAAACTAAAGCATCTTTTTATTGAGAAGAAGTTAACTATTAACTGAAGAGAAACATACCATCCAAATCAAGAACAAGGGTTACAGGCTTCTTAGGCTGCATTTCAAGGAAATAACTGGATACGACCTCCGAAAGTTCCGGTTGATTTCTTATAAAAAGCTGTGGGTCAAAATCTTCAGATTCCTCTGTTGCTTCCAACTTTTCTGATCTTGACTGATTGAAAGCCATAAACAAGTCATGTTTATCGAGGTTATTCCTTTTGTCCTCACCATCATCAGACTTGACATCATCACTGGTAGCTGATCCATCTTCTAGGTAAGGTAATAGCATGTACTGCTCTGCTACATGGATTAACACACTTGGCTCTGGAAAGATGCAACGAGCCAAGTGACTTATCTCGGTGAAAACATCATCGTTTCCACTCTCATAAAACGGCAAGCTTGCTATCAGCACATCAGAGAGAGAGAGAGAGAGAGAGAGAAATCGGAAACGTTGTTGTTGTTGCTCTCATCAGCTCCCCACCTAGGCATTTCCCAGTGCACACTGTTTCCTTCCACAGATACTGAAGGAAAGTGCATTATTAGATTACTCAATATTCAATCAACAGACGACAACTGATGGATGCAACCAAGTAAATATACAAGATTCTCAATCAAAGAGCATATCATGTTTCACTAGGAACTAGATAAAAGTATAGCTGCATGTACAATTCAAGAAACAAGCCTTACTTTTGTTTTCTTGCTCATTCTTGTGAAAATTATGAGTAGCAGTGACCAAGTCTTGTTCCATTCGGTCCGATACTTTGAGCTCAGAGCATAAACTTTTTGAAGGTTTCTTAGAAACACCAATAATTCTTTTTTTCTCTTTCTCTTAGAGAGTCCTTGCTTATCTTGCTCTTCATTTTCAAAAACGGCATTGGCACTGTTTCTAGAACACTATAGCGACCTAAAGCACATGAGGACCAATGGAAGATCGAGCTAGCAACAGATGCTACAAAACAAAGTCAACATTACAATAAGACTGTTTCAATCATACACAAAAGGCTGCTTGACAAGTAATATACATCTGGATGCAAACTTCATATGAAATTAGCAAAATGAAGACATAATCGAGTAGAGAAACAGACCGATCAGAGATAGTAAATTACTCAAAATTCCGCACCAAAACTATAAGAGAACCATATAAAACCTTAATTTCTATTCAAAATTTATACTTTAAAATTCCGCACAAAAGGCCAAATCTAAATCAAAATTCAAATGAGCAAGTCTTTTGATTTTCACAGTCTCAAACTCTTTCTCCAGCAACAAGTCAACCGATAAAACCAATTGCTAAGAAGAAACGCAGGGCCAATTATATATCAAAGGTGACACCAACGTAGAAAACGAAAACAGTATCAAACGAAATTCGCAGAAAGAAACAAGAGATCGATTGAGAATTGAAGAAGATGAAGAACTGACCGGAAGAAGCAGCAAGTTTTGTTTTTTATCCACTTCTCTGGTTTTTTTCTCAACACAGATAATTTCTCACGAATGAGAGAAGCTTATTCGACGAAAGCGACGGCTACGGTCAAATCTTTTTGGTGGGCGGTTTTAAACCAATACTAAAACGCCACGTATTTTTTTTTAGTAGCTCAGTCGTCCATTTAAACTTGACACGTGCTCATCAAGTTAGGTTCAATGGGCTTTAGGCCCACATTAGTCATAACTGAGTTTCCAATGGTAAAACAGATGTGCCATATTTATAAACAAAATTGGAAACCAATTGGGAGCCTTTGGAATTGGAGATAAGGCCCAAACCTATAATATCAGTGGACATTTAAATAATGTGTGATTAACTGGTTCTGTAGCCATCCTACATCTTATACATTGTAGATCTATCTGCATGTCATGGCTCCGTAGCCTTGCCTCGGCTGCTATGCATTCCGTCAGAACTTGCCAAAGGAAATGTTGTACTCCCTCTGTTTCAGAATATAGGATGTTTTAGGATTTTTCCTTGTTCCACAATGTAAGATATTTTGGAATTTTTAAGGTACTTTTTGGTAATTAATACTAACATATTCAAACTTCAAGACATAATAACTAAAAGTATTTGAATAGTTAAATTATGATTGGTTAAAAGTTATTAAAAAGTGGTTAGTGTGAAAAAGTAATTTACACATTAAATGTTTCTTATTTCTTGTGAAAAACCTCAAACATCTTACATTCTGAAACAGAGGAAGTAGTTTTTAAGTACATTTTATTTTCCACACATATTCCCAAAGCGCCGTGTGTCAGGCCAAAGAAGTGGGGCTACCTGCCTCCAAATTTTGTTGTTCTATCGTGTATCCCGATTTAACAATATATTGAATCATCTTCGTGAAAAACCATCCTATAGAGTCTGGCTAGGAGACATGTGTGATGGGATCCCGAGAATCATGGAAACATCCATACTATCAAATTACTGATTTAATAGTGGTAAATTCCATGTTGCGTTACTGGGATTTATCAATTCACTAACCCGAATGTGTGGGTAGAAATTAATCTCATATCTTGTGGCTAGCCTCGGGATAGAAGCTGGAATCCATGGATCATCTAAAACTGAGATAGATGTTCCTGAACTAACATTTTTAATAAGTCCTTTGTGAACCAGATGTCAAGCCGATACTATACTTTGCATCCATAAGAATGAGAGTAAGATCTAATAGGATCCAAAGGTGTAGAATTCCAGTAATAACGTCCTTCGAAAACCTGTGCAAACAACGAGTCCCGGCTAATCTATTAGCCGCCAAAATTGTTTTGCAAGTAATGCCATGTTAAAATCCTCAATAACACGGAATCGTAATCCCCCATCATTTTTGTGATGGCAGTCTTTTCCAAGCCAGCCAATGCATTCCACGTGTTTGCCCATTATTACTTTACCAGAAATTCGATATCGCACTAGAAAGCTTATTAATAATCCCTTTGGGCAGGCAAAAACATGACATTACGTGCATAGGCACGGCCAAGACTACTGCCTTAATGAGAACCTCTTTTCTCCCTTAACCACTTTGAAATCCAGCCGTTGATCCGTTGTTGTTGCCTATTTACTAAAAAACTAAAAAATTTGTCTTTGTGCCCCTAGGCTCTTTGGGATCCCAAAATAGTTCCATACACCACCAACATTGTTTATTCACAGAATTTGATGTATCTCAGCCTACACCCTTGCATCCGCTGTATGTCCAAACTGTACTGAGAATTTTAGAAAATTAATTTGTTGTCCAGAGGTTATACTCCTTCAGGATTTGGAGTAATATCCGAGTCTCTTACCATTTGCTCTGTAAAATAACAGACTATCATCCGCAAAAACGTGATAGGAAACCGCTGGACTTGCCTGACTCACCTTAAAAACGAACATCTCCAACCCATCCCCATATTTCACAATTATTGCCATTTTGGAGTTAATTTTGCTCCAACCCAACCCCATTTTCAACCTCAAAATGGAAAAATGCCATATTCTTCCCCAAATTGCAGATGATCCCATTTTATTTCCATTTTGAAGTTGAAGTTTTTTTTTTGGTAATGATTTTGAAGTTGAAGTTTTTAATTTATATAAGAGTCTTTGATGTTTTAAATTATTTCAGTTTAAGATATATAATTAATTATTTTGATATTTATTTTGACTATAAAATACAAATAACACATATTTAATATGAAATTTAATTATTTAATTAATAATAAAATTAATAAGAAAGGAAAAAAATACTTTTATTAGAAAAAAAACATCAATAAGAAATTTATCAAAAACATATTATGGGCCAATTTATAATATATATATAATGTAAATTTAGTAATTAATCAAAAGTTTTTTTAAAATAATATACTTAGAATATTCTCTTTGAAGTAAAAAATGAGGCAATACATTGGAGAAAAACCCAACACTATTTTGAGATTTCTTCATTTTGGAGTCAAATATGGGGCAATACATTGGAGATGACCTGTAGTCTTTTTCATTTCTTCCGCCTTTTTCAGGTTTGCTATTAAAATTTACTGGTGATTATACCCTGCGCAAGCGCGGGGTTATTTTTTCGGTTACTGATCATTTATATATTTTTAGAAATATGTTTTTTATTATTTTTTCCTTTGTTCTTCTTTATAATACTGAAGTTTTGTAATAGATGATGCATTACGTTTATTTTAAATGTTTTAAATAAAATTCGACAACTATTTCTACGATTTGTTAGTATTATGAATTTTTATTATCTTTATTATACCAAAAAATGGTTGTTTAGTGAACTTAGAGCTTCCTCTAATTATCATTGACTTTATAATTTTCTAAACTAGGAATTATACCCCCGCGCAAGCGCGGGGTTTTGTTTTCCGTTAATCATTGTTTATATATATTTAAAAATATATTGATATTTTGTTTCTTTGTTTTTTTATATTACTGAAGTTTTGTAATAGATATTGCCGCTATGTTTATTTTAAATATTTTAGTTATAATTCTTCTTAAGATCCGACAACTCTTTCTATGATTTGTTAGTATGTACGTGAATAGTTATTATTTTTCTAATATCAGAAATGGTTGTTTAGTGAATTTAGAACTTCTCGACAAAGTTCTTATTAACATCATCCCGGTCTATGTCTGCCTCTTAGCCACACTCAACCACCACCGGCTCTATCACCTTTTGAGGTGTATTTTTGTCGTTTTCCATATATCTTTGATCAATATCTATATTTTATTATTTTTGATCCTCTAAAAAATAAATCCTCTATATAAAATTTGATTAATAAGGTAACTATATATTATTTAAAAAAACATATCATTTTTCTTTCTCTAATTAATACTACAATTTCTGTTAAATTTTGATATCAATTATTACATACTTTATATTTCTTAATTAATTCTTGTGTATTTTTTCTTAATTTATTTTATGTACTTCTTTGGATTAAATGTAAAGAAATATGAATAGTCATGTATTAAATTTTCTTAAATATAATTTAATGAACTTTTTGCTGATGCGGATAGCCTTAGAGGAGAAAACTTGATTAATAAGGTAACTGTATATTATTTAAAAAAACATTTCATTTTTCTTTCTCTAATTGATACTACAATTTCTGTTAAATTTTGATATCAGTTATTACATACTTTATATTTCTTAATTAGTTCTTGTGTATTTTTTCTTAATTTATTTTATGTAGTTCTTTGAATAGTCATGTATTAAATTTTCTTAAATATAATTTAATGAACTTTTTGCTGATGTGGATAACCTTAGAGGAAAGAGCACTCTCCTATTATATATAAGATATTCGTCAAAGTTCTTATTAACAAAATCCTGAGCTATATCCGCCTCTTAACCACACTTAACCATTGTCTCAACCACTTTTTAAATTGTGTTCTTTGTCGTTTCTCATGCATTTTTGACAATATCATTAATTGTCTCTCCAACATTTTGGACTTTCCATATTATGTCTCTATACTTTCAACGTCTCTTTGTTCACACTTAATATATTGTAATATATTCATTTTCAACCTACTTCAAAACTATATACTTTATTTCTCATCTCTATGCATCAATAACTTAGAGTTAAAAAATAATGACTTAACTTTGTAATACTATTTTTAACATAAAAATATGTTTTTATAACTTCTTAACATTCTAAACTTGTTATATGTATTTTTCATTGAAAAATGAATCTTTTTATTTCTATTATACACATTTTCTATTGTTTATATACAATTACAAACAAACTTATAGTTATAGTTTTTTATATCCTTATTAGTTTGTAACTCTTAGAACATATATGTTGTTTTATCTGTTATTTTAAACAATG